TGGAGGTGGTTGTTGTGAGGGTAATAAAGTTTTTGTTTCAGCCATGTGTGTGTCTTGACAGTAGTGCTGGGGGTAGGCAGGGGGTAGGGAATGAGTGGGCGGCCGGGGAGGGTGTAGGGAATGTGTGGGCGGCAGGGCAGGCAGGCTGGAGTGGAGAGTGCTGGAGGAGTGGGTCAGGCAGGGCCTCCTGCAGCCCGTTCCTTGGCCCCTGCTGGCAGGTGCATGGCAGCAGGGGCAGCATCATGGCCAACAGGAACGCGGGGCACTGGTCATTGCTGGCAGGGGCCGGGTTGGAGCAGTGGGGCGCTGGGCGTCACTGGCAAGGGCAGGGGCTGGAGCAGCCCTGGTGTAGGGAGGCAGGGTGGGCAAGGAGGGAGCTGTCATGTGCTGTCCCTGCACTGGATACACAGCTTCTGGGCAGGGAAGGGGTTGGCCAGGGACCAGAGTTTTCAAGATGGCTGTCAAGTGCTGGCAGCTGGCTCTGGCTTCTACATGACTGCCAAGTGCTGGCAGCCATGTGGCCACAGGCTGAAGCTCCCCCAAGTGGCCACAGGGACATATAGCAGGGACAAAAAAAACCCTGCCCTGGAGTGGTGTAACTTTAAGGGCCTTGTTGCACATTAATTTTAGGCAGCTCCTGGAGCTCTTAACCCCTGGACTGTCCATGGATTAACACCTGAGAGTAGTTTTAAGCACACTTAAGGTGTCTTAAAATTACACTACTCCAGGGCAAGTTTATCTTTGATCTGTGTTACCCAACTTGTGTTCCATGAATGTGTGGTCACTCCCCACAGATTTTACATGCCTATGATTTATTTAAATGTCTGAGATGTCCTTGTGATGGAGGAAAAGGACACTTCATGTTGACAAAATCATTAATGATTTTCTAGTGCAGTATTCAAGAGTTTTCATTTTAATGATTAAATAGAATAACCCATAGTATTTCTGGAATAAGAACATTTGCTGTTTTGTACTGTCTTTGAAAATTAAAATTGGGAAAAAATCTATAACCAAGTATCATATATACTATCAAGAAACTGATTTCTTAATTGGAAATAACATTACGTGAATAATACATAACACCTTAGACCAGAGAATTTACTTATGTCTTAGCTACTGACCATTCAAAATGCAAGAGTTTTTAAAGACATAAGTAACAATTGTAGTACTTCATATTTTCTTTACATTTAAAGAGTTGAGAAATCAAGAAAATTATAACTGGTGTGTTTTCTATCCTCCTTCTGTTCCTTCTTCCCCCATTTTCTGTGTTTATTAATTAGTAATCAATGAGTTTCAGAGCATCTTTGGGTTTTGTTACACATTCATTTTAAGTGGCTCAGGGATGGCTCAACTCCTGGAATGTCCACATATTAAGATGTAAACTAGTTTTAAGCACCCTTTAGGCATCTTAGGGCCTTGTTACACATTGCATTTTGAGCTGTTAGTGCTAGTTTTACATGCCTCCATACATCAAGGTTTCAAAGATTTAAGTTCTCTTCCAATAGAAGGTGCCTAGTGAGAAAGGCATGGTGGTAGTGGCATTTGATTTTGCTATTATAGCTTTTTGGTAAAAGAGTTCACCAAGGAATTGGGTTCTAGGCCCTCCGCAGCCTGAGATGATTTAAACCATGATCACCAGCACCCATATGTTTAAGTAACAGCGAACATTCCTAATGCATTTTGCGTTGCATTCATTGGTGTCAGTGTGCTCTCAGTGGGTTTAACAGACTGGGTCCACCAAAGACATACCGAGAAGTTAGGTACCACCCTGGTCCATTTTTGATTGCATTGGAACTTAGGTTCGAGTCAGGCACAACTTTGTCCAGATGAGAACGCTTCTGCCATGTAAGTTATGGCTTTATGGAATCTTTGCTGTCTAAAATACAGGCATTAAATTAATTTAGGCACCAAATGATTGTATTTGGCCACTGGAACAGGTTGATCTAGAGCAGGGGTCGACAACCCCTGGCACACGTGCCGAGCATGGCATGTGAGGCCATTTTGCTCAGCACACCACGGCCAGCCCCAGCTCTGGGTAGCTGCTGGAGCCCGGGCTGCTCCCAGCAGGGCTTGCAGCATCCCAGCTGCCTGCTGGGAGCAACCTGGGCTCTGTGCCTGGCAGCAGCTACCCAGAGTCAGGGCCGGCTGCAGCTAGGAGACTCCAAATAGCTGCGCCGGGCTCTGTAGCCCTGGCATCAGCTCCGTACTGGTGCATGCACCCATGCGTCGGAGCAGGTGGTGGGGGATGGGCCTGAGGCAGCGCAACCCCGGTCTCTCCCCTGCTACCAGCACAGAGCTGGTGACTAGGCTCTGGAGCCTGGAGCAGCTGTTTGTAGCCAGTCTGGGCTCTGGGCAGCTGCAGCAAGCAGCGGGCAGGCTGCAGACAGCTGCACCGGGCTCTACAGCTCTGGCATCAGCTCCGTGCTGGCGGTGATGGCGCACACACCTCGGGGCAGACAGCAGGGCAGTGCAGCCCACCCCAAGGTGCCCATGCAGTCGCCACCAGCACGGAGCTGATTCTGGAGCTGTCGAGCCCGGCACAGCTGTTTTTGGTACATGGTAGAGCAATATCAGTGAAATACCTTAGAGCAAAGAGTGACATGGCAGCCTTTGATCATGCATCTGAGTTACTGCAAGCTATATATCTAGTTAGATCCCAAGTAGCTTACTGACAAGTATCATCCAGAGGCAGGTGGAGATTCCCTCTGGAGGCAAGCAATTCATTGACCATGAGTTTCAAGAAAAAGAGCGAGTTTTTGATGGTCCAGCTTCTCAGAGTTCTTATCATGGCTGCTGCTTCGCCTCGTGGGCAGTCCTTAACTTATATAGACCTTATGACTTCATTTACCTGATCCAGCAAAGGCCAGCATCTGTTGGCTGCTAGCCAACCTATTTGAAATGCATCACTGGTTGCCAGGTAGACTAGCAGGGTCTTTAGCCCCTTCCAGTCATGATGACATTGCTTAGAACAATAGGCCCCCACCCAGCTGTGTGAGGCCAGTCATGTAGGCAGAGGGAGCAGGTTTCCCCTTTCATCTGGAATGTATCCAGCTCAGGTTACAACTCAGGGTTGCCTGAAGCCAATAGGGCCAGGGGGTCTGGCCTCTGCAGTGACCATGGTCAAATTGACAAATTAGGCATCCACCTGATAGCAGAGTTTGGGGAGAGACACAGATGGCATTCTGCCACAACTCCAGTCTAGAATCTCTTTTCCTTCTCCCATGTGCCACATTTGTGCTAGAACTGAAGGCCACCCCATTGCAAATCTCTGCACAGATCACTGAGTACTGACCCCTTACATAACTTGCCTTTTGCAAGGTTTACGTGCCTACAGACTTCACAGGTTTGGAAGGGAGGGCCTGTGGACACAAGTATTTGATTCACTTGACTCTTTCCATTTTCATCCTTTGTCTACAAACAATTAAAACAGGCACAAATATCTCCCATACCTCTAAACATGCATACCAATGAGGGTATGCAGAGAAAGAGTACATCTGACCAGAACAGACAGCCTTAGCAGAACATGCATTGCATAAGCAACGTTACATTTTATCTGACGTATGTGTGCTTTCTTCTTCTTGCTGTCTTTTTTGCTTGTGAGCTCACTTGCGCTCTTTCTCTCTCTCGCTTGCTCCTTTCAGAGGTAAGCTTTATAAAACTCCATTTCATCTCCTGACTTTGTAGCTTTTAGGATTTAGCCAGTTTCTTTAACATTCTATCCACACAGACAGTCAAAACCTTGGAGGAAGAAACTACTATTTCTCCTTTTCAACCCAAGGAATTTTTCCCATCTGAAAAACGTGCATGTGGAATATTCCCCTCCCATCTTCTTCATAGCTAGACCCTTGACTGAAAGATGTGTATATACTTTATTCTATACGATGTTTCTCAGGCATCATTATTATTTCTGTTGTTGTTGTTAGGATATGGAAATGCATAAATTATTGGAGAGGGAGTTATATATTCAAAAATAATTTGTGTACACTTAGTAGACAAAGTAGCACTCGGAGAAGCTAAAATGCACCAACCCGAGTCCTTAACTTCTGTTCAACACACACACACACACACACACACACACGTTCTGCTCAAAGCACATGTGTGTGCGTTGTGATCTTATTCTACCCTCATATGTGTGTGTGTGCTGAGCAGAATGTGTGTGTGGTGGGGTTTTGAGCAGAAGCTGAGGACTCAGCTATTGGTGCATTTTAGCTTCTGCCTCCACTAATTAATGCAGTAACTGGTTCCCTTCTTCCTCCAATAATTTATGCATTTTAGAAGAATTTTTTCCCCTTATCACAACAGCAACACCTGAAAAACATTATGATCCAGTTCTTGATGAGGTGAATCAATTGGGATATGACAATTTATGTAAAATGAGAAACTGATCTGATGTGAGTATATGTATGTAAAGTGTGTGTATGTGTAATAAAATACTTGTATCAGTATAGCATATCAAGTATGAATTTCTGCCAGATGCCTTGTTTCAGGCAATATGTTAAACTGGATTACAAATGTCTATAATCATAACACATCTTTCATTATTTTACCAAAAGTCAGGCAGAAGTCAGACACTTGTTTTGTATAAAGCATCTTGATTAAAAATATATACAACTCTAGGAGTATATGATGATATCGTTAGTTTTTTAAACATGATTTCCCTTAGTGCACAAGTGGTTTTTTGCTGATGCTTTTTTTGGATCAACTGTATAGTTGAGAGAGATGATAAACATGCCTTTGGGCATAACGTCCTCTTCCTTAGGTCTTGAAAAGTATTTTAAACATATTTCCTGAGCCATCATGACTGAACATCCAACTGTACTTTCTTCAGTCAGCAAGCAATCTATAGTGTTATGAAACAGGCCTATTGTGCTGTTAAGTAATCAATATATACTTACTTGAGTATGAGAGATGAATTCAGTTCTCTGATTCTGACTATGTACTCCACCGTGTTTTTTCTGTTTTTCTATTTCACTGTGTTCTTTTTTTTTTTTAAATGACAGGTTGCCTTTGCCTCCTGGTGCCTTCTCAGGTCTTTGGGAAAATCAGGAAATGACCGAGAAGATATATTTCCAAAAATTTCCAGTAAGAATTGCAAATTGAACTACTTAAACTATGGCAAAGATATTAGTTAACTTAGATTATATCATTCCTTCTTTTTTTGAGAGAGTTTGATGGATCCATGCATATGTCTATGCACAGATATGTAAAGCTAAAAACATTTAAAGTCAAACCTTTCTTTATATGGAGTATTAGCATGTAATGGTTCTAATTTGAAGGAGATCCAAAAAAATCAGTTTGACTTCCATGGGTGGCATGTGTGGAGCAGGAGGTCACAACTAGGAAGGGGAGTGAGCACTTCAGTGAAATTAATTATGCTGCCCTCATCAGATAAATACATAGCGTGGACTGTCCAACCTCTCCCATCTCCTTTCTACATGGAATTATGTGTGTTTGGTTTTTTGTGTGTGTGTGTCAAAGAAAAGAAGAATTGGTCTGACAGTTGAAATAGCTGAGTAAATAGCTGTTGTTTTGTGCACGGGCAAGCTATTGCTATTATGCTTCCAGAACATGATATTCCAGATATAAACAACAAGACTATCATTAGGATCAGAGGTTAATTTTGCTGCCCCTCTCCTCGTTGTAAGAATCTATTTCTATTGGATTCAGAAGAGCTACCTTACGTAAGACCAGAACTGAAAACTGAATAGTGTACGGGAAGCCTGGACATGGAGCCCTGCTACTTTCTCTTATACTAACCTCACAAAAGTCATGAAACTCACTTGGGGAGCATGAACAAGCTATATTGTGAAAAAAGAATTTTGAATAAAGTATTTCAGAATAAAATAATAGTGTAAAAAAAGAAAGGAAGGAAAAGACAGAGCTGATATTCTTTAGAGTCAATGTGATTCAGCATGTTTTAGTTTACTGTGAATATACATAATATAATGCATAAGCTTTAGATAGGAGGAATGTAGACTTTTTTTCTTCTACTTCACCAAATCAGTCTTAATTTTGTTTGTAGAACACTTGTATTCCTAGTCTTAATCCCAGGTTATTCCTTGTGGTTCTATTTTCAGGGTTACTATGATACCATGGATGCAGGTTACATGGATGAGGAAGGCTATTTATATGTGCTGTCTCGAGTTGATGATGTGATCAATATTGCAGGTCATAGAATTTCGGCAGGAGCAATTGAGGAGGTAAGCACAAACTTGCCAGTAAAAATAGGCAAGCAGGAGAATAAAGATAGTTATACTTAGAAAAGAGAGACAATCACAAAAATATATTTGGGCCTTGACTATGTGTTAATTTATACAAAAATAGCCCCTGGCTGGAGCACTGCAAAGTTACCACTAAGGTGTGCTCCTCATCCAGGAGGTTGAAGTGGGGCTTCTCTCTCTCTCTGTCTCTCCTCCTACCCCCCCACATCTTCCCTCCAGGGAAGCTTGTTATTGAGCCCAATCATGGATAGTCCCTTGACTCCCTGCAAGTGAGTTAAGGTGGGAGAACATCTTTCACAGCTGCTGCTCAATTCATTGGCAAGAAGGGCAGCAAGGAATGCTATTGCTCCTCTGGTGGTCAGAACTGCAGAAGGATATTTCTGTGGTGGGCTTTCATGGAGCCTGCAGCTCTCCTCTCGTTGCTACATGCAATTTTACAGAAGTTACGTGCGGTGCTACAAAAGCAGTGCTGCAGAGACGCTCCTGTTTCAAAAAGGAACACTGCTGTAGTATGGGCAGTATTTCTGTAACGTTTGCACATTTTTATACCAGTATGGGGGTGCTTGAATATCTGTTTTTTGTAGCACAATGAAGGGGTTTGTAGCACTACAAATCTAACATCTGTCTTGCATGTTGGTTTTTCTTTTTCTGAAGTGTACCTGATTCTGAAGTGTACTTTGCTTCATCAAAAAATATATAGTTATCGGACTAGGTGCTTTATAAAATAAGCTATTTGAAGAACAGAAATAGATCCAGGGTGGATTTTTAAAAAAACGGTGTTTGGACAATTCCACCACTACTGATACTATTGGTAAAATTCAGTTTGTCAAGTGTTTTATCATTGGCTTCACTTGAAGCAGAGGTAAGCCAAAAATAAATTCTTCTGAAGACCTCACCCATATGTCCCAATTCACTGAAGTAATATGTATGTAACACTGAAAGTTACCAACAGTACTTTTTATAAAAGCATTTGAAATTCATTTCCTTGTTTACTGCCCTGTCCAGACCTACTGTAATTGCCAATTCTGGATTTCCCTCAAGATATGACAAGTCAGCTTTTTGTTTGGTATTTGGTATGTTTGCTGTTAGAGAACAGTGTATTTTTCCAGGCTCTTAATTTAGTAGTCAAGTAATTCAGGAACTCATTTTTAATTTGTTTGTAATACTATTCTTGTGATATATAAATTGACCTGTATGTTTCACATTTTAGAATTTAAAGAGTAAAATTTAGATGTCTGGACATTCTGTGGTCTCACAAGATTTTTTGGTTGCACAAAAGCTACCATAGACCCTATAGATTACTCTAATTGTATGCCTTAAAAGGGAAACCTTTGAGTAATACAGAATGGAAATGCCATCAGCTTTACCTTACTCTGTGTCATTCCTCAACAGCTCTCGACAAGTTAGTTTGAGTATTGGAAGAAGTATAGCCATGTTAATGCATGACCCTATGCATACTCCTTCATAGTTGGGTTGGTTGTTCCTACAAGGCGCTGCACTGCGCATTGTAGAGCTTCCAGAAGAGGCACAGCACAGAAGGTGACTCCTGGTCTTTACATCTGTATCATTAAGTGCATGAATCGGGTATTGTTCTTTATTTTTTCACTCTGGATCTGAAGCTGATGTAATGGGTAGTGATGTAACTTGCCCAACATTTAGCATTGTACCACTTCATCTCTATGTGCCATGTGAGCCCTCTCCTTTTCCATGATCACAGTCTTTATTTTTTCTGTCTTCTCCCCTACTGTGATGCAGTTTTGTTCCCCAGAAAACAATAAATGTTTAATCCTAAGAAAATTTCTTACAGCTTCTCAGTTCAACCTTTGAACAAAACTGAAAAACTAGACGCTACTTAATGTGTGCAGGGCAAACTGCTATTTAAATGAGAAAACATTAACAACAACACAATGAACTCTTCAGTAAAATCAGTAAATACAGAATTAAGAGGTTCAGTGAATCTCCCTTTAATTAAATGGTAGTCACCTTGTTGAACATGCATATTTATCTCCATTTACATTTATAGTTACACATAGTTTAACAAGCCTTTCTTTAGCTTTTTTACCACAAATCTCAATCTTCTTGTGTTTCAGTAAGATTAGGTAATTGTACCAAGGTGTCCAAAAGTCTCCTCAGCACCCTGTCTTTATGGGGATGCTGTAGAAGTTACAGCTTTCTCTGTTGCTCGCTGAATGGTTGTTACATACCTCTCATAATTGTAGCTTCTGGCTTATTCTCTGTGTGTGCATTTCAAACTGTTTGCCTCTCACTAAGGCAAAGGATATTAAAAGAGATTCAGCTTGAGTAGTTCCCTGCCTATGCATGGATACTGGCTGCTGCTGTAGCAGAGAGTAGGAATTAATCCCAGTGCAGTGCTGCCATTCTATAAAAACCTTCTCTTTTATTTTTGGTTTCTTATATTCTAGTGGTATAGCTTTTCAGTGGCATGCACCATTTCTATTATCAATCTTGCTATTTATTTTATGATAGTTTAGATTGGCATAATGGCATCTAATGCGTGATCCGACAATTGCACCTCCTGCTATACACTTGTGGCATGGCAGGAGGCACGATTATGTGAATTGCACATTAGATCCCATTGCGCCTTTACCTGCACATGTAGAGGGAGCCTGAGTGTTATGTTTGCTGTGGGTGCACCAATATTTATATCTTCTTTACCATTTTGATGTTCTTACACTTTCCTGATCCAGAAGGACTTAATTGATTAAGATTTTACCCTTTCTTTAACAACATACAGTGCCTCTCTTTTAATGTGCCTGATGTATGAAGCAAAAAAGTATCACATAACGCTCTGAATGAGAGGGCAAAGGAACCTCCTGTAGGTGCCATTAAATAGTGGTCAAAGTTCTCCTTGAATGGAAATCCTATGACAAGTCTATCTACTGTGTAAATATAATTTTAAGGCACACATTTGTTTTGCAGTCAATAGTGCCTGGCATGTGAAATAACAGTGACTGTTTTTTAATAGTTTTTACAGACCCAGTGCTATTGCTTTGCTACAAGAGTTTACTTAAATGATAGTGTTTTGTAGCATAGAGCAAACAAATCTCTGGTGTATTTATGTGGTGCATATTTTGTGCGGATATGTAGCACTTCCACAGAATTTTGTGCTCACGTGTCACAGGCATTTGGGGGCTGTGCTACAGCATTTGTTTCTCATGTGCTGCAATCTGGATATAACCATTTGGATAGAGCTATATATTAAAAATCCTTCTAAGCACAGGATGTATGCATGGGAAACCTCTTTTGTAAGGCTTTCATAATGTAAAACTGACTATGTACACCATAATGCTTTGGGCTAAGGGTGGTGAACTCTGAATTTTGTTGTGTGTAGAATGATGAGCCTCTCACTGTGGATCTGTGGCTGACATTGGAAATCTAGCAGAACTTCTTCTCTGCCCAGCGAGGAGAAGTTCCCCTGAGCCTTCCCTTTGTTTCTGGTAGCAAAAACAACTCTTTGCTTTCTGCTTTTTTAGGCTTTCTCTTCTAGCTTCTCCTCAGCTTTCCTCTCTTCTCTCCAAGTGTCCAAGGGACTTTCCCCTCCTGTAGACTTGCGTGCATAAGTAGCCAACATAAGTGCAGTATTTCTACATAACAGGTGAAAGACATCTGCACATCTGGGTACTCATTTGCACAGCCAAAACAGAGACCTTGCCCCAGCTGGCCTTCCCTCCACTTCCCTGGGTATCCTTGCTTCTGAAAACATGAGAGGTAAGGATCTATTGACCATTAACACAGACACCTAGTTCGGGAAGTTAAAAACCTATATGTGGACAGTGTAGGAGACTTGCAAACAAGCACATAGAGGTATAACTGTGCATATGGAGATAAATAGAAGATGGCACTGAATGATTTATGAGGGAAGCTGACAAGGTGGACGAAGTCTGGAACTTTGGTAGAACTGGGGAGGAGGCAGGTGGCAAAGCTTAACAGATAAACATAATGTAATTTTAAAAAGTTACGTGATATCTTGGTTGCGTGGAAGTGGCTTAAGGCTTTTTTAACATTGAACCTTGACAGTAACAACAGTGCACCCAGTTTTTCCATTAATACAGAAGACTAATTTCCGTTACTAACAGGATTTTTATATTGATGATGGGCCGCTTATGGAAAACTATGCTTGTGAATCGCTGCCAGTTAGATATATTTTGGCATCCTGTGAATGTGCGATGCTAAAATAATGTAAAGTGAAGATAAACTATGGAAAGTAATGTGCAGTGGGTTTGTGTGGGATGCTAGTCATGCTTTGTGACTGTTGGCTTGTGACCTGAGGTATTTATCATTGGATTGGGATTATCTTCTGTCATTGATATAGGAATAATGTTTTGCTTCTGTAACAGGCTGTTACTTTAGGAAAGTATTGACCCATATTAACCCATATATCCCTCCAGTTTTGCTGCTTTACTGTTTGTAAATAATGGCCATGGCAAAGCTCATTCCTGGTGAGACATGTTTTGTACTTTTTATCTGCCAGTAATGATGAAAGTGTTAGTGTATAGTATCACTATTGTAATTTTTACAGGGAAGGTTTAATTATTAGCTGTACACATGACATCAGTAGACCCAAATTCTTAAAGGAGAATTCTAAGGATCCCTGTCCTTTAGCGCAGTAGTTCCCAATCTGTGGTACACGTAGCACCAGTGGTATGCAGACAGCCTGTCAGTGGTATGCATTAACAGATTTATTATAATTACTTTATATGACAAAAATTTGCTCATGGTACTTAAGGTTGAACTGAAAAAATTCTGGGTGGTTCTTAAGGCTGCATTGTTTTAAATTGGCGGTGCACAATCTGTCCGAGTTTGGGAACGACTGCTTTAGTGTATATAATCACTGTGGTCACCTGGATCCTTAGTAGGGAAAGAACAGCAGAGAACCATAGGCTCAGTGCCTCTGCTTTCTATTTTAGAAGTCTGGATGAAGTGGTATTTTTCTTGTTCCAACAAACTGAAACCTCAGTTTCAGATCAGAGTTTCCTCTCCATTTCTTCTCCTACCTAGGCAAGTTGAGATGAAATGTACAAATTTATATATATTCCTTTTAGTTTCCTTTTGAAGTGGTTTCAGGTGCAAGTAGTGAATTCTTACAATATTGAATCATGTTGTTTCATGCAGGCCTTTCAAGGCAGGGGCTTTGCTTTAATATATGTTTTTACAGGAGATATTGTATGTATTGTACTACTCTTGGGATCTTGCTATAAACTCCTAAAATTGACAATTTTTTTTTTTTAATCTGACTTTTTAAAATCAACCCGTGAGGAATATTTTTCTCAGGTTTGTTCTCCTTTTTCCCTCCTTATATCTTCTGTACAAATGTAATGAAAATCATTATGCCATACAATTGAGTACTAAGTTTGTTCTTCATGTCGACATGCTGTTTTTTTCATGGAAATGTTTACTTGGTTTTTTTTCACTTCAATGATTGATTCAGATTTCTATCGCCTCTCTCAGATTATCCTTTCCCATGGTGCTGTGACTGACTGCGCAGTTGTGGGCCTGGAGGATGCTTTGAAAGGTCACGTTCCATTAGCACTGTGTGTATTGAGAAATGGTGAGAGTTCATTTCTCTTTATTGACTCTCACATCTGGTGTCAGTGAGATTGTATAATATTGCTTAGTAGTAAAAGCTTTTGCAATTTCTCACCAGATGTAAAGATAGAAGAAGAGAAAGTTTTGGAAGGGATTGTTAAATGTGTTCGACAGAACCTTGGTCCTGTGGCAGCCTTCCAAAAGGCAGTGTTCGTGAAACAGATACCAAAGACACGTTCTGGCAAGATACCACGTTCTGCTCTTTCTGCCCTTGTCAATGGCAACCCATATCAGGTAAATTAGAGGGGCTCTTTATCTAATGAACTGGCCACATCTTTTGATTCTTAAATTGTTTTGCTGTTTGCTTCAATTAACTGGTATTGCTGCTTCATGTTGTTGTTTTGCTTTCCATATAATTTTGCTTTCACAATCATCATGGCCAAGTCCTGAATATTTTTGTTCCTGATTACACCTCTGTAGTTGAGGTGTTTTTGAACGAACACCTCTACTATGCAGTTTGGTAATCTGCTATCATATATTTGTGTACACTCTTTTCTTACAGATAACACCAACCATTGAGGATCCTCATGCATTTAAACATATAGAAGAAGTGCTGAAGAACAAATAAAAGTAACTGTTGTCCATCTTATAGTATATTGTACTAACAAACCTCCTAATGAACTGAATTTATAGAGTTTCTGTTCAGCAATGCAAGATATTTAAAAATCTGAAATAATCTGTGGCTATTTTTTTTACTATAAAGCTGTTACTGTATTCTTTATCATGGACAGCAAAATATACTGAGTGTATAGGAAGGACATTGTAATTTTTATTTTACTGGATGTTGAGATGTTTAACTATGCAATGGCAAAGAGTTTTAACAGCATCTTGGAAGGAAGGTCCATGGATTCATATATTTTAAGGCAAGAAAGGATATTAGATCCTGTAATCTGACCTCTTTAATCACAGGCTCTTGAATGTTGCCTGGTGCCCCATCACTTGTAATTTGTATTTGCTTAAGGCATATCTTTGGAAAGGCTTCCTAAATCACTTGCATTTAAAAATATCAAGAGATGGAGAATCCACCACTTAACTTGGTTGTGTGTTGCAACACAAAATCACCCTTGCTGTTAAGAATTTCTTCCTTATTTTCAATTTAAATGGTCTGATTTCAGCTATTTTTGTGGCTTTCTCTTGTAGATTAAAGAGCACTTTCAAATGGTATTTTTCTCAGTGAAGGCTCTTATACACTGTACTCAACTCCCCTCTCAATCTTCTTTTTTGATAAGCTTAAACGCATAAGCTTCATAAGCCTCACTGATAGGCATTTTCTCCAGCTCCCAATAAAGTTTTCCAGTTCCCTTTCCAGTTTCTCAATACCCTATTTAAAATATGGATGAAAGAACTGTCACAGTATTCTAGTATCCATCTCACTAATGCTGTATGCAGAGGTAAAATCACCCCCAATTACTCCTCCTTCCACAATTACTCTCTTTCCATGCCATCCAACTGAAAGGTCATTTTGTGGCATTTGTCCACTATAACACCTAGATTCTTTTCAGAGACTGCTTTCCAGTTAGCTTTGCATTCGGCTATGTTAAAATATATTTTGTTCAAAATGGTTTACCAGTTTACCAGGTGCTGCAAATCATTATGTATGGCTGCCCTTTTCTCCTCACTATTTAATCTTCTGCTGCTCCTTGTGTCTTCCCCAGATTTTTATCAGAAATGATTTCAAATACTGGATTTCCAGATAATGGATACAACTTGTAGAATTGTATCCAAATTAGTTTTTTACCTCTGCTGAATTTTGTTAGGATCACCACTTTTTAGAGGGTGCACCATTAACAACTATTTTTTTAAATCTACCAAATAGCTGGTTCTCATCCTAGTTAACTGTTAACCTGTGCTTCATTGATTTTATGTAGTGCCAATTTTTTAATCACCATGTCATGCACTAAGTCAGTTATCTTACATCATGCTGTTACAACTAAGCTGCTACCTTTATTAACCAAACTTGCCATCTTATCAAAGAATAAAATCAAGTTTGTTTGGCAGGACCTATTATTTTTCCATAAAATCATTATAATTGACATTAATTATATTTCTGTGCTTTTGTTCTTCATCAATTGAATTTCATATCACCTTTTCACTGTTTTGTGAAGGACTGACAATTAATCAGCCTGATTTTCACTCTTGGTACGTTTAGTACTGTTTTAGTTTTCTAGAACTCCACAGTATTCCAAGATTGATTGAGAGTTTACATCAGTGGTCCAGTGATTTCATCAGTTAGCTCTTTAAAGGCTCTTGGGTACCAGGTTAGGTTGATATAAAAATATCTGTAGTGAATTTATTACTAAGAGAATAGAAAGTACTTTTATCATCTCCAGGGTGTACAAACATATTGTTCTGCTTTTTGCAAACACACAATAGAAATATTTTTGACCATTCTTCCCTTCTGTGCATCATTAATAATATTAACAGCCCTGCCATTAATAGGGATATAAAATTACTGGATTTCTTTTTTCTAATAAACTTGAAATGTCCCTTTTTAGTGTCTTTAGCCCTGTAAGTCATAGTTGTTTTCTATGTCTTTAGGTTCCTTTACCAATTTATGTTGTACAACTTTTGAATTAGATCAGTTGCTTTTTGTTTCCTCTTTCCACCATTATATGGAATTATATTTAACTGGTGCCTTCACTTTGCTACTGAATCAGCATGGGCTTTTATTCAAAGTTGTTCTTTTTTCTTGCTTCTGGAATTGCAGCTCTTTGACCAAAATGTTTGTGGTGGAAGATACTCATTTGTCCATTTCTTACTTTAAGGTTATTTTACAGTTGAGAGAGGAAAAAACTCAAAGCCTTTTAAGACCATACGTCTTCCTAAATATTGCAGCTATAGCTCATACAGAAGCTTTGTGCAGTGATTTCTTTGATTTGACTTGGGTGGCTTTCTTGGTTTGTGTTATACAGGAGGTCAGACTTAGGCTTCTGGCCTTAAAGTATATGAAACTCTGTTTATGACTGACCCTTGATTTATTGTTAATTGTAATAGTGTTGAATGAAAAACTATGATGTGGAAACTTGTGTTAAAGATGGACCATCTGCTTACACTCTGAATTTGCTGACTTCCTTAATTTATGTCATTCTTATGAAAGGGATAACCAGTTAGTATCTGTCTGTACTGTTGCCATGTAACCACATCCTTCAACTTCACTGTGACCTTATATGACCAAAGAGTTAATCCTGCAGCTATCAGAGAGCCCATTCCTGCAAGGTGTTCCAGAGTGCTGAGAGTTTGCTTGAGTGACTTTATGCTTTTGGGAGATCCTTAAGTGTTAAAGATGCTCAGCATATCACCAGACGGATTCCATACCACTGTAATTTGCTGCTTTACTGTCAGGTAGTATCTTTTCACTGCATGATGCATTTAATAATTTATTATTCTTTTTAGATAAAAAATATACAGAACATCAGGGGAAAAGGTTTTTAGAAAGCAAAACAAGGGAGTCACTATATATTAGTGTCTCCAGTCACTTTCCTGATCTCCACACTCAAAAAGAATACTATTAGATTTAAAGAATATTTATATACAGTAATGAGAGCACCCATTGTTTTTTTTCAATGACAATATCTTCTCAAAGGCAACCATCCAGAAAGGCTGGTATCACCTACAGAGTAAAGGTATCAGATGCCAGAACTATTGACACATGCATTTAACACAACTGTTAATTTTCATGGCCAAATAAAATAACTGGCAGGCTATAAGGGATTGGAAGTAGTGAAGAATAATTAGGGTGATTCCCATTCAAGTGCCCTGCTGGGCTATGAGCACTTTTTAGGGCTGGAGCCATAGGCCATGTTGTCATGGCACCCTCAAATACACCGTGCAGCACTGTGTGTATTATTCCCCACCTCCTAAACAGGAGCAGTGTAACCAGACTATGTAGTTCTAGGGCAGTGCAGGTAAGCTAACTGGCATCGTCACTTGGCAGTGGTAATTAGCAGGGATCTGGGTTTTCCATTTCCTACGGAAAAATGGAGAAAACCATGGATTTTCCATTTTTATCAGAGAAAACATGGATTTCCCCTTTTAACAGAGTAACCTGTGGATTTCTCACTTTTGCAAAGAGCTCTTGCAGGCTGGCTGAGTTCCAGCCTGCAAGAGCTGATTGCAAAAAGGGTGGAAGCCCCAACCCTGCCCAGAAGGGGAGGGAGAGGAGGATGGGTGGGGCCTGAGGCTTTTAGTCAAGTCTTGGGTCAGACTATATTTCCTTCTGGAGCCTGTGAAGTGGTAAGTGGGGCTTGCAGTGGCCTGGGGGGTTGCCAGGCAGGGCTGGGGCAGAAGCTGACTGGGGGTTGAGAGAGTGGGGAGGTTTGCAGCTGGCTGGGAGCTGGGGGGGTTTGCAGCCACCTGGGGGATTTTCAGGAGGTGGGGGGTTTTGCGGCCAAGGGGGATGGGGTTTGCAGCCAGCTGGGAGGTTTGCAGTGGGCTGGGAGCTGGGGGGGTTTGCAGCCAGCTGGGGGGCGATTTTGCAGCCAGGGAGGAGGCTTGCAGCTGCTGGGAGCTGGGGGGTTTGCAGGAGTTGGGGGAGGTTTGCAGCCTGCTGGGAGCTGGGGGGTTTTGCAGCCAGAGCTGGGAGGTTTGCAGCCAGCTGGGAGCATGGGTTTTGCAGCCTCCCTGCCCAAGTGCCAGGCCCACTGCACATGGAACCCAAGTGGTGCTATCGGGGACCGAGCTTGGCTCCTCCATATGTGGCTTCCCTTAAGAGCCAATAGCACAACTCACAGTCCACATGCAGTCAGCCCAGGGTCCACTCTGCATCTTCCCCCTACCCCTCCCTGCTCCCCTAGCCCCAGGCAGCTCCCAGTGGGAGTGTGTCCAGTGTCCACACATGCATGCACACACACATGCACGTACAGATGCATACACACATGCACACCCATAGATGTGCACACGGGTGCATACACATGTATACATGCATAGATGCACACATGAAAGAGGGGTACCAGGAGGGCTGGGGAGACTGTAGGGGGGAGTGAGGGACACTAGCAGCACCAGGGGGGCTGTGGAGGGCCTTTAATTTTAATAATAGATTTGGGTTTTTTTATCAGAGAATTTGCAGTTTTTTATCAGAGAAAACCAGGATCCCTTGTAATTAGTTTGCTCTCTGCACTGCTTAGAGGTAGCTTATACTGTTTCCAGTTGGTGGGGAGAGGGTCATTGCCTATTAGGGCTGTGTGAAATTTCGGCAGCTGTTTTGCTTCAGAGGTGTTTTGGCCCATTTTGGCACCCAAAACACCAAATCTGAAATGAAAAGGAAGGCTCCAAAACATCTCCAAAATTAAATGAAACTATCCAAAATGTTTTGGAAATGTTTCAGATGTTTCATAGCTGGGCTTGCAGGGAAACAGAAACTAACAAGAGGGAGGGGGAAGAGGGGCAGAAAGAGTGCTCTGCTGTTGACATCTGTAGCTGGCCAGTATCCGTGAGCTGTCCCTGAGGTCCCTGAGTGCTCTGGGGGAGGGATTACAGCCTGCTGTCATCCTGCGCGCAGATCCGGGGGCCCGTGCCCTCTGGGAGGAGTCTGGCACAGACCCGCAGCCCTCCCTGTGGGTGTGGGCCCCCAACTCTGCGTGCAGGATGACAGCAGGCTGCTGCTGCCAGCTGGGGCAGTGCCAGCACCCCAGTCTGCTTGGTGCAGCCTGCACTGAGCACAGCTGGGGGACATGCAGGAGAAGCCCCCATGGCTACCCAGCCTGGCCACATTCCCTGCCCGGCTTAGCAGTGCTGGACCTGTGCCATGCGACAACTGCTGTGTGGGTGCTAGGCAAGGGGGGCAATCCCCACTGCCCCGCACTGTGCAAGGGGGCTCTGCCATGAGTGTCTAGAGGCCCCAGTCGCCACTCCTGCAGCCGGTAAGTACGGGGCTTTTTTTTTTTTTTTTGAGTGCCAGGACTAGGTTGGGGCCGGGTGGGGGATGGGGCCAGGCAGGGCAGCCATGGGAGCTTCTCCCGTGGTTCCCCTTGCCCGGGGAGAGGAAGGCACAGCTGGAGGAGCTTCGGGACTACCTGCAGCCACCTGGCTGTGCCTACCTCTTTCCAGCCAATCCGAATATCTGAAACAGCATTGAAACTCCGCAACAGATACGGCCAAATTGAAACAGAGCAGTGATCCAAAACACTGAAACAAATCACTGTCCTCTGAAATGGCTGACTCTGAAATCGAAATGAGACATAGCCATTTCACACAGCCCTATTGCCTATGCTGCACGCATGTTTGAGGGTGGTCCTGCTGGGCATGGGAAGCTTACAGTATGGATTTTCCTCAGAGTTTCATCTTCTGCAGACAGTCTTGAACCAAATAATGCATTAATGAGCTTGGCACCAAATACAATGCAACAAACCACTATATTTGTTACATAGAATGAGCAGAGTCACATATCCCATAGTAATTTAAGCTGTTTGAGTCTATACTATATTTAACGTTTGACCAGATATTCATATAATAAAATAGTCATCCTGCTGTGGTAGTCATTTTGGGAAAAGTCAGCCAATATAGGCAGGGCCAAGCTACAGGGCTATCCTCTTGTGTTAAGACATCAGAATAGGGTGAAATGAAACTTAAGTGATGGCTAAGTTTATTGCACCAGGTTTGATTTTTCCTTCATGAGCTGAGTTAGGGTACACAGTCGCACACTGTAGCTCATGTGAGTGATGTCTTTCATCTGAGTAGTAAAATTACTCATCTGCACTACTGCTTGCAGAATCTGATGCTTATTTTTTTCCAGTTTGGTTATCCAGTTACCATTTTGTTGCTCTGTAGATGTTCTGTTGTAGTTACCAAGACATTAAATAACATTATGAACATTTATAGCTTTGGAAGGAAGACACAGATGTTCTATGGAAAACTCTAGTGTTGTCTGCCTTCATTTCATTAACAAACATTAAATCAAGTGATCTGCCTAATGCAGAGGGAAGAAAGAGCTACTGGAGCTTTCCTTCTCCAAAGTGTGTAAGCTTGGAGTTGCACACGTGCTCAAAACTTAAATTACTGGCGCTGACTTTAAAACTAGAGGATTCTACAATGGATGTAGCAGCTGTAGGTAGAAGCCAAGAGCCTTATTCTCTGTTTTTCCCTTTATCTTGTTTCCTATATTTGTGCAAAGTTCATACAAAATGCTAACTAATCAGGTTCTGAATACTTTTCTGGTTATGCACAATTCACTATTATAAGCAAGATTTTGCCTTTTCTTTGTTCAAATAAGACTGTCTTTGTGTGGTATTAGATATGCAGGTATTTTATCATTGTGAACTGGAGGAACATTCAAGATTTGAATGTCAATTGCTTTCTGGTGTAATAAAAGTAAAGGATGTTTAAAAGTATTTTATGTTTTTATGGAGTATTTGTTAAATAATGTTTCTAAAGTGTCATGCAAAAATTCATGAGAGGGAAAAAGAAAAGCCTTGTGAGTAAAACCTTGTGAACAATAATTCAGGGGCCCAGGGCTGATTTCCTGGATCCATCCATCTGGCAATTCCCACTCCATTTTCCCCCACCAGAAAAACAGAAGTAATACTGTTCTTTCTCTTTCTTATCTATTTCCAGCTCTTTGGGGTGGGGCTGTCTTGTACCATTATATGTACAGCTCCTGCAACTGCATGCAGTCTTTTTTCTATTTTCCCAGACCTCCTTGAACTTAAAGATCTTTAGAAAGGGAATTTGGTCAGATTGGCAATTGGATTTGTATCTTTTCATACTGGAGAGCTAAACTAGATATTTCTGAGCTTTGTATTGAAAAACATCATCATCATCTGGCTTTGAGTGCTTTATGTGAGCAGATAAATCCTTTAATGGATATAAACATTCAAGCACCAGGCCCCAGATGGAATCTGCAGCCCTGAATTAGATTTCATATACAGTGAATGAAGCAGAATGAGATCTAAAACAACCAGTGCACCAAGAAGAGAGCTCATCTAGAGATAGTTGGCATGAAACTCTTGAGCACAAGGGTGTATCTGAAATCCCACTTCTCTCAGGAATGTAGGTACCTGATACAGTGTGACCGGAAAGCACCTCCATCATCTTGGGACTCGGAAACCAGAATTCTCTTGACAATGGGCACCTACAACTATATTTTCAAAGAACTGAGCTGTTTTGTTTTGAAATATTGAGGTGACAATCCTCACCTTTTGTAAAGTCATCTCAGGGGATTCAAATCCCTATTCCCTAGCTCCCAGGAAAGTTCCCTAGAGGAAGAGTGGAAGAGTGGAGTGACGTTCTTTAGCTTTCATGCTGAAGCTGGCCACCCTGGCGAAGAATTCAGGATTTGTGCCAGAGATGGCACAAGACTCTGTAGCCAAGTCATTAGAGAACTTAGAAGTGCAGAATTCTAGCTTTTGTCCCCTGCTATCAGATCTCTCTCTCTCTCTTGTGTGTAAAATAGTTTTGGGATAAAATGCATAAACAGCCTTTAGAATAGAGACTAGAATCCAGGGTTGTGTCGATGTGCGTGGATGTTTTGTTCCCCGGGGACAACTAGCAGCAATGCACCTTGTGTCACCACTAGTTGTCCCTGGGGAATGTCTGTGCCACGCGTGCTCTGGTGCATGGCAAATTACCCTGGGTAGAGTAGAGGAGGCTGGGGCTAGCACTGTTCTGGCCCCATTAGCCTTACCTGGGGTCCTGGGGGCCTCCCCGGGCTGCAGCAGCAGCAGTCCTACCACTTGGAACTGGACCAGCAGCCACAGTGTGGCTCAGGCCAGCCATGCTCCAGTTTTGAGTGGCACATGCTGCCCCCATGTATGCTGCTCTCCTTTTTTTTTTTTGCACACGTTTTTTTTGACCCCTGGATATCATTGTGGAGAACAGCTGAATGCGTGATATTTGGTGCCACAGATGTGTCAACGGAGCCACATGGCACATGCCACATGACAGCACCTGTCTGGATGTGGCCCAGGAGTCCTTCCACCCAGGTGAGTGCCCTTACTCTTGCCATACCACCCTCTTTCCCACTGAAATTGTGTCACTGTGCAGAAAAAGGTTAGTATGAACAGATGCATGGGACAGACCCTGACCTTGTGGAAATGCGAGTTGTTGGTTTGAATCCCCTCAATCCCCTTGAATGCAGTGAAAGAAAGCTTGGTGAGTGTCCGTACTGCGAGAGCTCCAACATATTGGTATGAAATATCATTTCCTCCAGCATTCAAGTACTTTGGACCTGGAATATGGCAAAGTAGGCTCTCCAGCCTAACAGAGAGGCAGCTGTCATAGCAGCAGGTGAGTTGAAAAGGCTTTGCACATGCTGCCTGGGCAATTCTACCAAATGAGAAAGGGGAAGACCTGGGGGAAATCATTGCTCCCATTTGTAGGGTGTTTCCCCAGCTCATTTGCGGGCTGGACTCCTTGTATTTGAAGTGAAGTCTGGCATGCAATGTCACAAGAAAGCAGGAATTAATTTTGCCAGGAAGCCAGAGGTTTTTATTGACACTATGGTAGGTGTCAACCAAGAAGATTAGCTCTTGAAGGGACTGGAAATGACTCTGCAGAAGGTAGATTTACCATTGTGGAGTCCAAGGTGACGACTCCTGTGAATCAAGCCCTTGCACAGGGATCGTACTTGGCCTTTGTCTATTTACTAACAATCCCAAAGTGTAAGAGAGCCTCAGCTCTTTGACACTTGTTTTGAGAAAGTCCTTCTTACCAGCCAGTCATCTAAATGTCTCAGATGTGGGGTAACCACCAGGAGAACCTTGGTGAAGTCTTTAGGGAATCATCAAGAGGTCAAATGAGAGGACTGCAAACCCATAATGCTCCTGTTTTGACACACCACACATTAGATATGTTTTTTTTCTGTGAGGGTTTGATGACAATGTGGAGATAAATTTAGAGATGAAAACTAGTTTGCCTCCTGCAGGGATAGTATAATAGCTACCTACATAACTACTTTGAATTTGATCATGAAAACTGAGCTCCCTTAAGACCAAGATAGAATGCCATCCCCTTATGAACCAACAAGTAATTACTGTAAACCCCCCCATCTGTAAGACTCTTTTTTTTTTCCTGAAGACTTTTCCTCTCCACAAGAGCAAGCATCAGGCCCCCGTTGGAGAATCCTGTAAAAAGGGTCCCAGAAAAGGGGAGAAGGGATGTGAAGTGATGGCGAACTGAATAGTATGGTACATCATGTGTTGTATTCAAACCTACTGGTATTACTGTAATGTGAGCCTGTCCATATTGCTAATGAGCTGGGCAGTTTTTGAAGGGAGGGTAAGGGGAGCAAGCCACTGAATGGGAGTGCAAGTATCTCTTACTATCTTGACTGCTGCCTAATGTGTGCTCTCAAGCAGAGAGTGAAGTGAAGGAATGCTTCTGGTTATGTAACCATTAATATAATTTGGGTGATTATTGATAGGAAGACTATGGAGTATGACTGTGGGTGGAAGATGGCTGATACTGCAGCTTCCCTGTAGGATCCAGGGACTAGTCTTCCAGGGCGCACAGAGCAGCTCTGGAGTCTTTAAAATTGTATAGCACTTCACTGGTTTTAATACTAATCTAATCTGACAAGGAGAATTAGGTAAAATTCAGTGTTCTAAATTGGTGGAGGTTAGCAAAAGGGTACACTTTTTATCATGATCAGGTCCAAATGTTTCAGTTCCTTTCATAGTCTAGCAAAATGGCCCAGTCTTCTCATTGACAGCATAATCATCCAAGGAGAAGGATGGGAGACAAACATAAAATATGCAGGAGCTTGATATTTTTTGTCCCCCCTTCTAGCAGTTGGTGCCAAATGTGAAGGATTTGGGCAACATGATGCATCAGGTCAAATAAACATAGGGTTGAAAAGGATCCTGAGTGTCATCTGGTCCCCAAATTTGTGATTCACTATTCCTATAACATGTCAGGTAGATATCTATCTAGTGTCTTCTTACAAACTAATGAAGAAGATTCCAAAATGACTCTAGGCAATTAGGTCCATTGTCCTACTAATCTTCTACTTAGGAAATTCTTCCTGAGATCTTGTTTAAATTTGTTTTCCTTTAGTTTAACACCATTTCCACCTGTCCTGCCCTCTTTAGGCAAGGGAGAACAGTATTTCTTCTTTACAGGAGCCTTTCAAATATTTGAAAACTGCTGTCATATTTCCCCTTAATCTGCATCTCTTTAAACTCAACAAATCTAGTTCCTTCAACTTTTCCCCATGCAACTTCTTTTCCAGACCATTTATCACCTCTATTGCTCATGTCTGCTCCAGTTTCTCTGCATTGTTATTTCAACATGGTACCCAGAGTTGGACACAACAATCCCGCTGAGGCCTAAGCAATGCCTTTTTGTCTTATATCTAATGAGTTTGTTAAGCAACCAAAAACTGCATTTTATTTGCAACAGCAAATTAATGAGTGGCCCTGAAATCATCTGTTTGTTGGAAGAGTGAAAGAACAATGGTGCCCTCCAGGAAGGAAAAATGAAGAAGGGAATATGCTCCTACAGCATAGCCAGCCTTTAACTAGGATTTGGAAAATCCTCCACATCTAGGAAATGAATAGCATCTGACCTGCAACAGTTTGGGATGTTGAAGATAATGTGCACTAAATGGAATGGCTAAATGTATCCCCAAGGACAGGGCTAAGGTGTAAAACACAATACCAGTAAGACCATGTTGGAAGGTGAAGTTAGGAAGCCTAAGGCTACTGGGCCAGAAACAAGGAAACCACTTTGGAAAACCACGACAACACTGTGGCTTTTCAGCCATTGCCGTGGACAAATATATATGTAGCATCATGCTCAGCATGAGGACTCTGACAAGCCAACACCTATAACCAGTGTCATTGTGACTGGCTCTAGAACTGATACCAAGGCTGTGGACACAACTAGATATGGTGATGGTGGGAGTGGAGGGATCACAGGAGGAGCTTTATCAGGCTTGACCAGGGTTGAGAATATCCATTCCAAGAGTAGCATGGAATACATGATGGATGCCTGGGGAGATGCTGCTGGGGAGTGAGGCAGAGTTGTTGTACAACCAGATGAAGCTAGGACTAGAGATTTTTACACTGGAGTGGAAACTGGCACCACAGGGTTGCTCCAGGGAGATCTGGAAAAACATCTCAGCCACTTGTCCTTGGTCTTTTTGTCAGTCAGCTGAGAATACCTGCTGGGAGCTGGAAAATTGTGCTGGAGCACTGGTGCCAATGCATCTACGAGCTTCAGTATTTTTTGTACAGGACTGTTGTCTTTGATGAGCAAGGCACTGGTACAGCAGGTGTCCTTGAGGACTCATCTAGGTTTTTAATGAGTTAGTTATACAATGGGCCATCAGCCAAAAATAATTGTTTAATGACAATTGTTTTGCTAATATAACATTTAATAAAATTATACTGTTCCACTGTTTTGTATTTATGCCAGTGTTAGGAGTTTGTGAAACATGAAAGGTCCTTTGCAAAAAACTAATCAGTGCTAAAAAGGGGGCACTGACCTCTCTGCACACAAGTGCTGTCCTATAACAAATGTATTATAATTATCATCAAGAATAGTAAGAAGGACTTTCTCCAAACAAATGTCAAATAATCTATAGGGGTGTAGGTTGTAGCCGTGTTGTTCTAAGGATATGGCAGACAAGGTTCTTTGGGTGAATCTGTTATCTTTTACTAGACCAACTTAAATAGTTGGAAAACAATTATTAAGCAAGCTTTTGGGTTCAAAAACCCTTTGTCAGGCTAAGGAAGTTTCAGCAGTTGGTGTGTGCTCTTCCTGGATGGAATGAAAAGTAAAGAAGCCAGAGGCTGGGCTGGTATGCATGCAAGACAGGTAGTCAGTGAAGATATAGATTGAGGAGTCAGTGGGTGAGAGTCCTGATCCTTAAAGGAAACTTACAAAACAGTTCCCAGAGACGAGCCTATGAACTCCACTTCATCAACCTTCTGGATACTAAAAATCATGGACTAAATATAGACATTGGATTTATAACCTGCCTGACATCTGACTCTCCAGGTATCTCTCCACTATTCATCCCCCTTCTCTCTCTTCCCCCTCCCCTCCTCCCCAGCCTGTGTCTCACCCATTGACTCCTCAATCTACATTTTCACTGACTACCTGTCTTGTATGCATACCAGCCCAGCCTCTGGCTTCTTTACTTTTCATTCCATCCAGGAAGAGCACACACCAACTGCTGAAACTTCCTTAGCCTGACAAAGGGTTTTTGAACCTGAAAGTTTGCTTAATAACTGTTTTCCAACTATTTAAGTTGGTCTAATAAAAAAATATCAGATTCACCCAAAGAACCTTGTCTGCAAATAATCTATAGTGAAGTCATATCTTTTTGTCTTTATGGACCCTAGGAATGAGTTAGATAATATGATGAAACCACATAATGCTTGACAATGTAGAAATGAGCCTGTGGAATTTGATCAGAATATGGCAGGCTCAGAATGGATCTGTAGTTTTGAAGTGCTGTCACATTCACAAGTATTTAATGTTTTCCTTCATTTTCCTAATTGTTGAGAAAGGTGCTCCAGCTTGTCTGCAGAAGGGACTTGGAGACTCCTTTTAGAGGAGAGTACACAGCCATTTTTATGGGGTTTCTCTTGTTTGTTCTTCTTTTCATCCAGAACAGAAAAGAGGGATTTTATTTGTTTGTTACAGATTTATGCCTAGGAATCTGTAATTGCATTTTAGTTTATGGGGAGAGGGCTTTCTCATTCCCCTTCACAAACATTCTCTCTTTTCCTTTCTTTACTGTATGTCTTGCTTTTCTGCTGGTTCATGCAGATCATATATAAAACCTGCAAACAAAACTGTAAGTACTGTGCTATAGAATTGTGTGCTCAAAAGATACTACAACCAGTGATAATGTTGGTTTGCATTGTTTTACTTAGTGACATTTTTGTTCACTAAAATAATCAAAACCAGGGTCAGGGAACATTGATATCAAAGTTCATTATGCCTAAGGAATTTAACATAAGAAAGCTATGTCTTTATACGATCACCTTGTACTCTTTACAGTTGATCAAATGCAACATAGCCTACAAATAAGTAAGTTCAGTGCTCCCTCATGTGGCAGACTTTTAACATTAATTTCATTTTGATATCTCAGGCTCCCTGCTAGTGAGAAATCTGCTTATATCTAGGCTTGAGTGGTGCCAGTCATCCCAAACTACTTTTATGATACTACATAACCATCTTTATAGACATCATAAACACAAACAGCACTGAAATTTTTTTTATTTGACAACGGGGGGGAGAAAAATCTGTCACCATCTGATTGACTGAAATTTGTGAAATGAAACTGACAATAAAACAAATGTCTATGTACGTGCAAACATTGCAGATCAAACTGCTAAAAGAAATAACTAAAAGACAGGTCTTGAGCTAGGATCAAGCAGCAGAAAATTAGTAAATAGGTAAATGACTAATAAGTAGGTCTTACTTTGAAACTTCCCATATAAACAAAGAATAAACAACAATAACACCACCAAATAAAGCCACAGCAGGTAATAATTGCTCTTCCAAACTCCTATACACTATATTTTATCATTCTGTCTTTCAGTTATTTCCTCTGATAAAACTGACTTCTGTGAAGTCTCAGCAAGGCCATCTTGGCTAAAAGCATAACGATAGACAGGAGTCTGTCTAATGCCCTGTTACAATGAAGAAATGGTGGGTTTTGGCTTATTATTTTTATACAATTGGAGGCTTGAGCATCAGATTCTCTACAGCAATTAGATATTGCTGTCCAGCGCTGGCTGACATGTGAAGATCTTGGAACATAAAGGTGGCTCTTAGTAAAGTGAGGTTCTTCTTGGTCCACAGGTAACATAGGAGAATGTTTTGTTTTTTTAAACAAATTATTTTTCGATAATTGCTTTTGACCCTTGTAAACAGTTTTGTTTTTGTTTTTAAAAGGAGAGCCATCACAGTGCTTCTCTATAGGTATCTGACATTTCTGTTTGCCTTTGTAAGTCCATTTGGCTCCAGTTCCTGGTTAAATCATTCTATTATACATCAGAGGCAGGTGTTCAGCTTTAAATATTGACAGATTTTTAAGTAGGAACATGTTGAAGCTTCTAACTCTGCTAAACATATTCATTTGACTGTTACAATCAAAAAACTGTAAAAATGGTGGAATGGAAAGATACAAACAGTATTTTTGACATTGTATCGTCAAGTGTTTGCACTGAGACCCCATGTACCATAGATTTTATTTAAAAAAATCATATTTATATCCATTTACATAAGACTTACACGTTTTAAAAGAAATACATACACAGTAAATACGTAAATGTCTAGTATATTACAGTAGAACAGGTGGAACAATGTAAAAATGAGTGGCTCCATTTGATAAAAGCATTGGCTGCGCACTACTGCCTAATTTATGACGACAGAGATGCTTGGGGGGGTCTTGTTTGTTTTTAAAATTATTAAGGTATTTCATTACTCTTCTTGAAACTAACCAATAACTTAATACATGAAAAGAACATCACATTTGTTTGCATGAGAAACCTTTATGTGTTCTCTTCCCTATTACCCTGTTCTTCAAGAGAGTTTTTACTGCTCTTTCCTAAGATAGTGGTAGTGCACTTCAGGTAAAGTAGAAGAAAGAGATGATATCTAAAGAAAAAAAATAAACAAGTATTAATTAGCAAAAATATTTTAAAATTCCTTTTTTGCCCAGATTTATTTTATGATGACACTACTAGGAATATAAAGTGTCATAGCATTTTTCATTTTTCAGCATAAACTTGAATATTAGAGAGGGAAATGTGCATTTATTGTTTCATTGCTTTCTGGGGAAGAGAATGGAATAATTATAAAGCTTCACAGTGTTTAATCTAACATATGCTCAGCAGTTCTTAAACACTGGGCGCATCTTCATGTGCATTAACATTTTTTAGTTAATGCGCATTAAAGCTCACGTAGACACATCCACTGAGATTTAAGTAAGCACTACATAAATAAATTAGAGCTTTGGTGCACTGTAGTTTGGAAATCTGTTTCAAGTCTTCAAAATATAATAATATTGTACTAATATATACTCATGTTCATGTGCTTTGTCTTGCCAGTAAAATCAGTTAAGGCCAGACAGCATAATAGCTCTGCCCACTTCTACCAAGATGCAAAAACTATTCCCATAAATACAACCTAATTCACTGATGCCCTGTAGCTCTTTTCATTCACTGCCTTTTTTAAGGATTTTCAAATATCCTTAGCCTGATGTTAAAGGTGTACCTTATAGGTGCCCCTGCCTGGGCAGAGGGAGATATGTAAGGCCAGGAGGAAACAAAAACATCAGAGGGTATATGGATCTCTGAAAGGGATCAAGCCCTGGGTTCAAACCTGGACCTTTGTTCCCAACTGGGTAGAAATTACTGTGCTGCTCTTCAGCCATCTTATCCAATGACGATTAAATGCAACGAGCTTCAGAAGGAGCAGTAAAGAGTATCCTGAACCCATGACATGTTATTTAAAACACTGTCCTGAAAACTCAAGAGAGGTGCACGGTCATAGAGTCATAGAGAAGTAGGGCTGAAAGGGACCTCCACAGGTCATTTAGTCCACCCCCCCCCCCCCCCCCCCCCGGCCTGAGGCAGGATCATTCCTATCTAAACCATCCTATACAGTCCTTAATCTAAACTGTTCATAAGGTTACTTCCCTGCATAAAGAGGACCAAGAATTCAGGTCTCCTGCTTCTTGAGCAAGTGCCCTTAATAATGACAGGGTTTAGCCACTGGAGCTAAAAGAGTGGAAATTCCCTCCTGGCTTTTTTTGACCTACACTCAGGTATGGATATATCAGGTATGGATATATATGGTGTATGTATGGTATGAATATATATAGTGCATATTTGACTTGGCATGTTCAGTGTGCTTCTACACCCCATAGGGCAGAGGCACAGACAAAAAAACCAACCAGCCACACATGCAGCTATATAACTGCCATTTAAGTGCATAAAGAGAAACTGGATTCTGTATATTTCTATAAAGTCCCGTGGCACAATCCTTTTGTACCTTTCTATACATCTCTATGAAACAGAACTGATGTAGTGATATTATAATGTCCCTTGCTCACAACTATGTATGCTTATTGTGAACACATCTGTTCCAAAGACATTAAACTTAATGCTTAATTGCACTTCCCTAGCATTTCACAGCTAGTGTGACAGCATCCCAAATGTAATCATGAGATGGACAACATATCACCATAATATCAGAAGGCTCTATGAATTCCATATGTGCTGCCACTGGCCTATTTGCAATAGTAAATGGAGAAGCAAGATCCGCAATATTGAAAACTTTAAACATAAACTGTTCATCCTTGAGACACTGAACTCTTCAGTCATTTAGCCAACTCACAAAATCCCACAAGTTATTTTTATGACTTTCTAAGACACCCATTATCGTGGTGGTCAGTGGACAAATTATAAAGTTACCCTGAAATTTAAGCACAAAAATCTGTTTGGTTGACTCCAATAACTTGAAAGAAACGGTCTATAACAGAGTAAGGTGGCAGCAAATTTTCAATGGTTCCATAAACACTTTTGAGCTAAGACTCTTCAGCACTGACACATCAGTGAATTAGGCTGTATTTACAGTGAATAGCGTTCATCTGAGCACCAAAAGCAGCACAAGGCATGACTACAACAGCCTGCAATGGTCATGGACAATCTCACTTACTCGTCCTATGTAGTATTGTGCATGTGGCTTTTCTGTTGTTCTGACCTTCTGCCCCAGTCATATATGTTCATTACTAGTTTTTGCTGACCTCTTCTATATCAACACCAACACATGAATCCATCGATGTACTCGTACCTAACTGATCCGTTGGAACAAGTCTTAATAAAAACAGTCTAGGCACCAAAGTAACAAAGTCATTTTGCAACATCTTAATCTGGTCTGGGTCAAGTGATCCTTTATCTTCTATAATGGGCACTTCTACATATGAAATTAAGGTGAATGAACAGACTCCAGCACATATCACATTGGAGTTTATTGCTCCCGGGTGCCATGTCTTCATGCGTGCTCAAGACCACAGCACATTGAGCCAGGTTGGAGGAGCCCTGGCTGCAAGGGAGTCCGGGGGTCAGCCTGCCAGCCCAGGGCTGCTCTGACCTGGCTTAATATACTGCGTAGGGGCTGGTGGGGGCACAAGGGTGCTCTAGTGTGGGGCAGGCAGCCCTGCACTGAAGTACCTTCATGCCCCAGCCAGTCCCATCAGTGTCTACACATGTGTTGCTGCACACTAAAGAACACCACTGCAGGACAGTACTTGTATTGACAAGTACTAACCTCTGGTGGAGTTTAATTAGTTTCCTGTGGCCTAACAGGCCTGCACATGTAGACACTGAGACTTCACTGTGGAGATAAGTAGGCAGCTTCACAGTAAATGTCTCAAGTAGATATGTCTGCTATGTTATAACTTGGAAGAATCTAGGACCAGATTCCATTCTATTTTGTTTATTAGGTATGTAAATAGACTGAGGCCCCTACTTGTGATCCTATTCCACCCTGCTCAAGTCCCCCCAAAAAAACTGTTAGTAAAAAAGGTGGGTGGGTCTTCCTCCTCTTTGCTGCTTTTTTTTTTAGTGCATTCTTTGGAAGTTGAGTACACCCTATTCTAGTATTTTCATTTGCCTCAAATACTGCTGAAACACTCACTCCTTTCTGTAGTCTTCCAATCACTGGCATGTCAGCTTAGATGTGAGCAGCCTCAAGAAAACAGAAGATGTCAGTGAGAGATCCTTTGCTTTTCAGGGAATTCATTAGCTATGCAAGACAGACGTTCTACTGAAGGTAGGTCTGTGCGAAGCAGCAAGTATTCGCTTCAGATTCGGCCAATTCAGGGCACGGTGATTTGATTTGGAGATTCAAATCACTGTCCCGATTCGATTCAGCCAAATCAGATCTGAAAGATTTGGTGCTGCTTTGGAGATTCAGCCATAAACTAAACAGCTGATAAGTCTGTTGTGGTGGGCAGAGGGGGAGGGATGGATTGGGGCTGGGACAAGCTGCCCAGTTGGGGCAGGTGGGCACGTGACTTGGGGAGGGGAGTGGGGGGGTACGGGATGTGGGCGTGGCAGCACTGGGAGCAAGGGCTCTGCTCTACTGCCACTTGCCCAGCCAATGCAGGGGGTGGGGTGGAGGGCGTAATGAAGGTACAGCTGGCTCTGGGCAGAAGGGGGCAAGCAGCAGCAGGGCATGGCCCCCACTCCCAGCGCTGCCACACCCACATTCCATGTACCACCACACAGGCTGGCAAGCATGGCCCCCCACCCCCCTGGCAGGGCAGATTCCCCAGTCCCAGCACTAATGCGGGTGCGCCAGCACTGGGAGGGGTAATTAGGCCCGGCTGCCACTTGCTCCCTTCCACCCGGAGCGAGCCATGCCTGCATTGCCCCCCCCACCCTGTGCTAGCTGGACAAGTGGCAGCAGGGCAGAGCCCCCACACCAAGCATTGCTGTGCCCAAATCAATGCTAGGAGCGGGGACTATGTGCTGTCGCTGCTTGCCAGCTGGTGCGGAGGGGTGCAGGAAGGCAGGCAGGAACAGAGGTCTGCGTCCAGTCCCCCTTGCCTTGGGGTCCAGGCCTGGGCCCGGCCCCCTCCTCCCCCTGCCAGTTCACGTCCGGACTCATTCCCCGCCCTGGTTTGGGTCCTGCTGGTTCAAGTCCAGGCCCATTCCCCCCGGCTTTGGGTCTGGGCCTGTTCCTCCGCTCTCCCCTGCTGGTTTGCTTTTGGGCCCGTTCCCCCCCTCCCCGTCAGTTTGGGTTCAGGTTTGGGTCCAGGCCTGTTCTCCCTCTCCCCCTGTCAGTTTGGGTTCAGGTTTGGGCCCATTTTCCCCCAGTTTTTGCTCCAGACCCGTTCCCTGTCCCCCAGAATTGGGCCCATTCTCCGCCCTTTGGCTCTGGAACCATTGCCCCTCTCCCCTGCACTATGCCTCTGAAGGAGCTGCTGGGCTCTGACTGTCCCATGACCTGGACTGGCCAGGGCTCCAGTCACTGTGAATGGGGCCCCAGCTGAGCTGGGTCATGGAGCAATCAGAGCCCCACAGCTCATAGGTTCATAGATTCATAGATGCTAGTGTCGGAAGGGACCTCAATAGATCATCGAGTCCGACCCCCTGCATAGGCAGGGAAGAGTGCTGGGTCTAGATGACCCCAGCTAGATACTCATCTAACCTCCTCTTGAAGACCCCCAGGGTAGGGGAGAGTACCACCTCCCTTGGGAGCCCGTTCCAGACCTTGGCCACTCGAACTGTGAAGAAGTTCTTCCTAATGTCCAATCTAAATCTGCTCTCTGCTAGCTTGTGGCCATTATTTCTTGTAACCCCCGGGGGCACCTTGGTGAATAAATACTCACCAATTCACTTCTGTGCCCCCGTGATGAATTTATAGGCACTGGGCCATCATCCAGGGGCGTGGCCCATGGCCCCCACAGTCTGTGTACAGGGCAAGGGTGGGCTGTAGCTGTGGGCTACGCTCAGCTTCTGTTTTGTGCCTCGCTGCCCCTGCATTGACAGTGGCACAGCATGGTGCCATGTGCTTTGCTGCCTGGCATGCCCAGTGGTGGGACTCACATGGCGCCGTACTGCACCAATGTCAAAGCAGCAGCAGCAAGGCAGAGAGCAGAGGCTGAATGCAGCCCATAGCTGCAGCCCACCCTTGCCCCGTGCACAGACTGGGAGGCCAAGCCCCTGCCTTGGCTCCCTGGCACCACACCCCTGGAGGAGCCACCAGGCTCCAGTTGCTCCATGACCCGGCCCTGGCTGGGCCTGGTCGTAGGCCAGTCAGAGCCCAGCGGCTTGTCCAGGGGTGCAGCGCAGGGGAGCCAAAGGTGGGGCACATGCCCTGCTCCCCCAGCTCCTTCCACGTCTGGCCCCATATGCTCCCCCATCTCCCACTGCTCCACCCCATGCTGCCTCCCAGGAAGGGGGTGGGAAGCTTGCACGCAGCAGCTGTAGCTGCCACCCTGTGCCCCGTGCCGCCCCCGCTCGGTGTCTGGCCATGTGCAACCACCACCCCACCTTCCCTGCCCACTCCCTTCCCTGGGAGGAGGCAGTCAGGGGCGGGGCCAGGGAGTGGGGCAGGCAGTCGGGGGCATGGCATGGTGGGACAGGGTGGGGCGTGCTGCCGCGGGGCCACACCACATGGCTGCTCCCCTCCTCTTCTTCCCTGCTGCTTCCCGCTCCCTGCCAGCTGTGGTCTGGTGGTGCACCGCACCTTCTGACAACGGGTGGCAGGGAGTGGAAGGTGACAGCTAGGGGAGCAGGTGCACTATGGTGTGGCAGCACCCCGTGGTAGTGCGCCATGAGGCCACAGCCCACAGCAGGGAGCGCCCCGCAGGTAGGGAGTGTGCTATGCCCCGCAGCAGGCAGAACTCCACGTAGCCATGCCCTGCGGCAGGGAGCACAACATGCTGCGTCCCTGACTGCCTGGCCCACTCCCTGGCTCCTGACCGCCACCACCTCCGCCTCCTCCTGTCTGTCTGTAACCCTCAGGGCCAGCCAATCGCCGCCCGCCCTGTGGACAGCACATGTGCAGTTGGCCCAGAGGGTTACAGACAGACAGACTAAGGCTTTTATTATATTAGAATGCACAAGTTTAACACTGTTAGGGGTGCAAATACCTACATATGATTCACAAAATTAAGCCAGAGATTTCAAATAGGAGTCGATAGTATCAAAAACCTGGGGTGGTCTTTCTGAATTCTTTGCAACAGAAAAAATTGCTCTATTACTTTCCCATAGTCAAAAAATGTGTGAAAGGTAACAATTGGCATTTTCTGAGGGGTGTCTTGAGTATAACGAGGGGTGCCTTAAGTGTCAAAATGTTGAGAATGACTACTACTTGCTTAATCAGTCCTCTCTGTCATACTCATTATTTCATGAAAAACAGAAAACTTCAATAAAAGAAATTGAGATTGCCCCAGGCAAAATACATATAAGTCCCTGCGAGGGGTGGAACTTTAGCATTTCTTCCTCCTGCTAACCACCATAGGCAACTCTGCTCCACACACTGTTTTTTGTTGATCACTTCCTTAGGCACCCAAATCTCTCCATGCTTTGCTAAGGCAGCCTGGATATCGATCTCATGACCAGAGACTTCACTAGGCAGCAAGAACAGCAATGCTGAGCAGTGCGACACCAAAGTCCTTTTGTGGATCTAGTGCTGTATTGCCTGGCATTACAACTGAAGGGTTACAAAAACAGCCATTGTATTTTTTTAAAACCTGTTGTAAATTAGTTTTTCATTAAAATGCATTATATACAACACACAGGCATGTTATGTAAGGGATAGCTATAAACCCAAACTCATGCTACCAAAACCTTCAACTGACTACTATGTATTTTTATTCTATTGCTGTCTACAGACAGGTAAAATCAGCTACATGCTATGGTAATGAGGACTTTATAAATGTCTAAGATAGTCTGCTGAAGGTTAAGAAAATGAAAGGGAAAACAATGTTATTTAAGTAAGATTAGCATGAAATGGTAGCATATTGATGGAAGTGCTTGTTATCTTCATATTTTGCAAGACTGAGGCTTTGGTAGAAAATTGAACATTTCCATAGAGCTATGCTTTACTCCATCTGACATTTATGCAGCTTGTACAGCTGTTGGGAAGGTAAATGATGCGATTATTTAAGCAACAAGAACTAGTGTATGAAATTGATCCATGATTGCATCTGGTTCAATATCCTGACCAATACCATGTGGATTGAGGAGGACATAAGAATACCAATAATGGATATCTTTGGACAACTTTACCCACAGGTTAAGTTTTGTCCTAGTTTAGTTTAAGCTAACTACCACTTCATAGATATCCTAAATTGGGTTTATATTTCTTATTCAAAACAAAAATCTAATATAACTGTTCATTCTTATTAGTGTCATCTGTCAAGCTGTCTATCCCTGTGACACCAGAAACTTGTCAGGGAAAGGAGCCATAGTGGCCTATGCTGTGTGCCTTTTTTTCCTAATAAGCTAACTTTAGCTGCCAAGCATAGGTCCTTTAATACACTGCAATAACCAATGATTCATGCCCAGTTCTCACAGAGGATGAATCTGGATGTCTCATTAAATATACTTTCCTTGATTATTTATCAAAACCTGTCTAGCTTGAATCCCTGGAGAGGGGATGATCACAGTTTATCAGAAGGGGTCTCATGGAAGAGAGGGAGAAGCTGCTGGTTTGGACGGGAGGAGGAATAAAAACCTGACATCTCTCAGACTAAACCTGAGAGCACTCCCACTCACCTAAGATAGTTTGTTTTGATAAAATAGACTTGCTGGGGGAACTGAATTAGGTCATCTATTCCGTGTTGGCTCTTGCTTGAGTATTGCCACTGAATATAGTGTACATTTATACAGCTTCCATGATGGCCTTTTATGAATACTCACAACAATTCAGTGCTGGCTTCTTTGCTAGCCTTGTCAACATGAGTATGTGCGAACTGTCGAGCTGTCTAACCTCTGCAATCGTGATGAAGCAACTGCAAATTGCAAAGACAAACATCTCTTTAGAATCACGAAGGCAATAATTTAATTAATGTTTACCCACTGGCAGGAAGGCTATTAAATTGCTATGTAGCTCCTTCTAGCCAACTTTATGGGTTTGATCTGATCCCTAAACTCATTGAGGGTTGCTACATGCTTGATGCACTGTTTAAATGTGGCTACCTCTAGTAAGACAACAATTTTTAAAAACTTACTGAGGCCTTTATTTTGTTCCAGACCCTAATGCACATCTGTGAGGCTGTGTAAATAATCATGATGTTCCAATCTCTGGACAGCAGGAAGTATGGTTCTGGGAAAGGAATCATGATTTAACAGAAAACAGACAACTACCTGGGAGTCAGGCAGACCTGAGGTCAATTCCCAGTTCAATTCCCTGCCTCATAAAAGTGTATGGAGGGTAAGATCCATTAATGACTGTTAGGTGTTCAGTTACTATGATGATACGGACCGTGGAAGCACCTAGATAGATAGTACTTTTATGCATAAGTAGAAATGACTTTTGAAATTAATCCTTCCTACCCTGCAACTTTTTATCACTGACAAAAAAGTGCGGCATTAAAAGCATGTTCATGAGCAATGGAGCCAATGGAATAGTGATGCAATTAGTAATTTACATCATTTTGCTACTATAAAGTGAGACTTTTAAAAAGATAAGGCTCTTACATGGACTCTGGATGGATGTTTTTATACAAAGTTTTTAAAACTGTTACAACAGAGTAATAACTAGGACTAACAAACTAGTCATTTCTAACACTCTTTAAAGTGAGAAAATTAGTAACATAATTATGCAAAACAAAAATTCCACAAAGAATTACATGTTCTTTGGTGGTGAAATGAATGTTTAGCATGTCTTTTTATTTGTAAAAGGGCTATAAGCAAAGTTAAGACTGGTCCTGGGTAATATTGTTATTAACTGAAATAATCTTTGCTGCCTCTTTACATTAACTACCAATATGGTCTTGATTAGCTTCAGTTATTCCATGGTTAAGCCTGGGTATCAAATTAGACAATAAATATAAAGATCTCATCAAGACTAAGTGCAGAAAAACCTCATACCATCAGTTGCCATTTTTCGTGACTGCCCTGATGTTGTAGTTAATCTGAATCCAGCTGGCAGTGTTTCTGAAGAGCCAGGCATCATGCTGATTCCATGTACCTCACGTGGAGGAAACTGTCTTCGCCAGGAAGAGCCACGCCTGAAGTTCTTGTCATCACTCTGTCAGTTCAAAGGATTGTATTTAATAAAACTAAATGAAATTAATTATTATTTGCTGGGACAGCTGCTTCTTTTCTACCTGTTAAGTTTATTTTTGAGCAAATACATTGGAACATATTTCATTTTATATATAGTAAGAAGAATACACTTTGGAAAAAGACTTGTAAAAGCAACTGCTTAAGTACCTAGAAATACTAGAGGGAAGGGTTTCATTTAAATCTTGATGCTCTTGTCAGTTTTTATTGCCTGTTGCTGTAGAGCTATCCATAAAATCAGCTGCCTACTGAATTGGAAGGTGGGTATGTGAGGATGTGAACAGTATGTGAATAAGTAAGTATATGTGAACATTTGAAAAGGTATTTTTCATAAAATAATAGTGGAATTAAGTGTTTCGATCTAAAAGCAGTGTTTAGTTTAATTTCAGCTTGTCACTTTTATTTTAACATTTTAATCTGATTCAGAGATTTGGCCGTTGCTGAATCAGCTGAATCTCTGAATCAAACAGGGCCCATCGTCCGATGACTCTCCCAGCCCTGTCAAAGGCTGTCCCGCCTGACCCCAGCGTCCCAGGTTAAAAAAAAAAAAAGCCTTGCACTCATTGGCTCCTGCCAGGCAGAAGGGCAATCCCCACTGCCCCCAACTGCCCCGTGCTGCATGGGGAGCTCTGAGCCCCCATCCCTTGCCCGCTCTCCTAGCCTCAGTGCCCCGGCTTTATTTTATTTTTTTTTTAAAAGCCCTGCACTCACCAGCTGCTGTCAGGCAGGGGGGTGATCCCTGTTGCCCCCTACTGCCCTGCGCTACATGGGGGGGGGCTCTCCCACGAGCTCCCAGAAGCCCCGTCAGTCACTGCAGCAGCTGGTGAGTGCAAAGCTTTTTTATTTTTAAAGAACTGAGAGCTAGGGCCAAGCGAGGCAGCCATGTGGCAGGCTGGGAGAGTGGGTGGGGGTCAGGGGTGCTCAGGGGAGCTGGGGGAGCAGGCAGGGGATGGGGCATTTGGTGTTTTAGTTCAAAAGTGCACCATGCCATTTTCTGTGCGCTGACATTCATTATGCCACTTATACAACTGAACGTGGCACAGTGCAGTTCGCATCAGCTCGCATGCAGTTGCATCAAGTCTGCTCCAAAGCAATGGATCTCTGGCACATCATGGGACAAAAGGCATGTGTATAAATGCCCCTTTATCCTGGGTGCGTATTCTACCTACGATTATTTCTGTTCATTTATTCAATGACACTCTAGTGTTAAATGCACAAACAGACCCAGGAGCAGAGACCAAAACCTAACTTCCCCATCCAGCTGAGTACTTGAATCATTAAGTTACTATGGGCTCCTTGCTCTCCTTATAAATCTTGTATTCTTGTCTTCTCAATGGCCCAGCCTCAGTGGGAGGGACAAAGGGCATCCTTACTCAGGTTATTCTATAGCTTAGTGGTTAAGGCATTCCAGAAAATGCAGGAGGTACTCCTTTATGCTGAGGAGGGCCTAGAACCCAGAGCTCTCATTTCCTTGATGAGTGTTCTAATCACTAATTTGCTATTCAAAAGAATACACCACTGTAACCATTTAAAATGATATATGGCTGCTTCATTTTGTACTGTCAATATCCGTTAAGAAATGCCTAATTGATTTGGCCTCCCTGGAGATTTAGGCTAGTTAGGAGGCCTGTCCCTCCTCCATTTAGGGTCACAATGGAGTGTAGGCAGAAGTTAGCTACCTAGCTGCTAACACTGGGGTACTTCTATGCATGCACAAACACATATGTTTGGCATCTACGGATCTTCGCAGTCCAAAATGTAGCCAATAAGTTGACTCTGGGGCCATTTGAGAGATTTTATAGCTACTGAAGTGGTGATAGTCTGGCTTGTTTTTTGTGACCTTTGCCATTCTGGAACTGGTGGTAGGGGCCTGTGATGAAGAAGACAGTCCCCCCCTGCTTCCTTGACAAAAGTACCAGACCCATGGAGAGGGGAAGATCTAAGAGCATCCCTATCCTCATCATTTTCCTGTTGGTTAGCTCTAGGCAGCCCCCTGTTCAGTGTAATTACATTCCATTTTGAGGCATGTACTTCTGCCTGTGTAAGGGAAGTCTAGTGGCTTCATACAGGATTTTGTATGCCACTCTGGGGGCCAGACACCTTGGTAGGTGATGCAACACCTGAGTTGCTTTCTGGATCTAGTCCCAAGACCTTTGTCTGTGATTTAGTTCTCCATCTATAAAACCACTTCTCTGCTTCAGGGGTGTTGTGAAAAGAAACTGACATGTAATGGCATGTGAGATACTCTCTTACTGTAGTGCAAAAGGTCATAGGCAAAGCCTTTGAGGGAATTAGTCATTTCCTATTCAATGAAGGATTTGGACAGTATGAAATAAATTTATGAGATCCCCCCCACCAAAAATAATAGTAAAAATAAAAGGTGAATAGTTGCGTCCTTTTTAGAGTGTCACCTATTTGAGCTAGGAGTCCATTGGGGAAAAAAATGGTATACAACAGTGGTTTTCAGCCTGTGGTATGCAGTCCCCTGGGGGTCCACAGACTACGTCCACGAAAGATGACTATGATCAATAAAAAGTATGTGAATACCCACGCTTACTATTCAAAGGGATCTGCACTTCCATTTGAAAATTCCAAAAGGGTCTGCACCTGCATGAAAAATTTTTTAGGGGTCCACAAATGAAAAAAGGTTGAAAACCACTGGTATACAATCATATAATTATCATTAGGCTACATGTTTATCTTTAACTAACTATAACTATCATTAGTACAAGAAGCAAAATTAATTCTGGCATTTCCTAGTTTTTGATTTTTTTAACCATGAAAACATTCTAATGTTTTGTGTGCATGTGTATCCTTGTAAACATACAATTGCTATAAAACATCTTCAATTTACTTACTTCATCAAGACGCCTTTCAGTTCCTAGTGCTAACAGGTTGTTGTATTCTCTCTCAAGAATTTGTCGTGCCTATGGATACCAAATTAAATAATTAAAGTTATTGAAAATGAGCAAATATACAATCTACACAAAAACTGCATATGTCATGAATTGACTTGCCTGTGTGTTTTGTGTTGGAATCTGTAATAACAAAGCTAAACTACTGTAATCAAAATTTTCATCCAGGGCAATAAGTGACCCATGTACGCCGCTTTCTAAGATATTATTGGCATATTCTCTTAGGCCGATAGCCTGTATCCAGCGTATGACTCGATCATTGCTCCATACCAACACATCTACAAACACACATAATATAGTATCAATTTAACATTAACTTACATGAGTATACAGATGCATGTATATACATATTAGTTGTCTTATGTTTCTTTTCATACCAGGGATATTAAGAATATTAAAAAAGGCTTGATGGCTATAAAACCAATTTAGAGTCCAGAAAGTTGATGACCTAGGATTACGTTCTCACTTACTATATAAAACAGCAGCCTCAGAAAGCAAAGTAGAGTCAGAAAAGGGCTTTGCAGTTTCCTGGAGGGGAATTCAGTCCCCTGAGGTTCAATGTTACAGGTCAATACCTCCAGTTTTCTAACAAGCCAGAGGCCAAAAAAAGCCTTCCCTCGTGTTGACATTTTTATTAACCTGAAAAATCTCATTTTTGAAATTTATTTAATTAAGGACCATGTTAACTGAACTGTAAAGTAATGCGCAAGTAAGAGAAATATGATGTCATTATGGCTGACTCAGTTCTAAAAATAAAATTCTTACACTAGAAAAAAAGAAAGTTATGTGTATCCAGTAAGAGAATAGTAATGCTTTGTACCTATAGTCAAATAGGAATGTATCTAATTAGAAGAACTCTGGTGATATAGAGCCAACGTGATTTTTGCCTATATCACCCAAGCCAGAGCTCCTGGCACAAAAACATTCCAAGGTTTGGGAGTAGCTGAAACAGTGTAACAGCCCAATATTACTGGAACAATTTTCTCACTGGGGGAGCATACCTAACCAGCACACATAAGAGCAGCCCAAGAGTGCTACAACAACTGATGGGATCATATCTAGCATAGGATCAGCACCAGAACTGTATTCTGCATACATCTCTACTTACCCCCAGCAAATACTGGACATAACAGAGAATTTGCTCTTAAGTCCTCTGCTCATATGCAAGTCCTGTGCATGTGCTTAAATGCTTTACTGAACTGATACCCATTAGAAGTCAATAGTCTGAAGCCTCACAAAGAAAAATATCCTAATATTCATTTTCAGAAATTACCAGTGCTATTACCTTTGATTTCGTGCTGACTCAATTCTCTTCTCTTTTCCAGTTCTTTTCTGTCATAATTCAGCCTCTTTAAACACATGATTCCATACTGCAAGCTTGTTCTGTCATATGAGAGAAACATTTAACGGTAACATAGAGCATTCATACTTAAAAATCATTCTGCAGATGTGAATATTACATAGAAATCTTTGCTACATGTAAGATTGGATAATTCACTGTGGCCAAATCAGAAGTGTAAAGAGAGACCAAAACCAACCTCCCACCAGAACAAACAAAAGAAACAATGAAACCCAACTCCACAGGCTTAAATATGAAATTGGCACAAACAAAAGTGGATGAGCTGAAAAAATTACCTAGCATAAAATCATTTATTTAATAGCCCAGCTAACTGGATGAACTGTGTTTAAGTGCTTTGTTGAATTGGAATCAAGGAAGAAAAAAGTATTTATTGGCAAATCAGGCAGTAAGTAGAAAAGAAGCCTGCCTTACAAGACGGGATCAACCTCACTAATGTATATTATATGCTGGCTATTTTTCACTAGCTACAGTTACAGTGCTATGGCCACTTTTGCTGGTAAACAAGTCTATTGCCCACATGCTTATGCTGTTAATAGCTTTTCTCTGCTGTCTATAGTACCTTAAGTATTTCCTTTATTATAATGCCTTAGCTCCTGCCTTATTTCAAATGTTGGCGATACTTCTTATGCTGTATTGAAAATAATTTCCCATATATCTACTCATTTTCAGTGTTTTTTATACAAACGTACCGATGAAAGCTATCCACCATTTTTAAATGGACGCGGAGATCTTTCTTTGTCAAATGATCTAACATCCTTGCATCTACCAGGCACTCCATAAAGTAACTTCGGTATTGAGGTAAACCCAGACTGGGGAGCCATTCATTACCAATCCATTCATGATTCATATCACCATAGGCCAGGGTCTACAGAAAAAATAGATTTCATTTTTTAAATTACTTGGGTCAATATCATGAAATAAATGTATGCCATTTCAGTAGGAATTCATTCACTGCTTTCTAACAATATTTCCATTTGGGTTCTAAATATGTAATCAAAGCACATTTGGATAGTTAATACTAAATACAAATATTGCTATCTCTATATCTTGTCTAACAGCCCTTCAAAAGAAACTCTTAGTTACAATATGAAATTGTGCATTTGAAATATATAGTAAAAAAAAATTCAAACGTTATATTCAGGGTGGAATTTTTAAAAGCACCCTAAATTAGGACTTGCTTGCACTACTAACTTAGGACAAACTGCATCTTAAATTAATGTTGGCTATAAAATTTAATTGTAGGATAAAATTCCAGTCCCATTGAAGTCAACAGAAATTTTGTCACTGGTTTGTTGGGGCTAGAACGTCACTGAGAGATTTCAATATCCCTCTTCCTATATGCTCTTAACTTTACACATGTGTATTCCATAGAAGACAATGGTTAATTTTAACTGATTGTCAACTATGCTTGTTTCCACTTCAAGTGCCAGCATGAGCAAATGTACACCACTAATAATATTTCCAGTTGTGATCCACTCAAAATACAGTGCATCTTTTTGATTAGTTAATAGGTGAATCATTTAATATAGTCTCTTCTGAAAACTTCTTAGAAACTCTATAGATCATATTGAGTGACGCAAATAGACACTGCGATGTTATTTTTGTGGTTCATTTGAAGTATATATTTAATGTGAGAAAATAATTCTGTTACCACTAGCATTCTGTGAAATCCCAGTGAAGAAAATATAAAAGTTATGAGTTTCCCCTTCAACTAGGGTTTCTCAGGCTACGTCTACACTGCACAATAGCATGTAGTGTCAAGATACCCACACTAGCCCTACACCACAAGCTAGTCTGGGTCCTGGAAGCAGTATAGTTACACAGCTCAGAGCTCCATTTGCGCTAGTTCATTCCGATGGGAAGACATACCATACTACTGCTTATTACGCTAATCATACTCCTTATATTTTACTGTTTGCTCTCCTTGTCTGTTTGTTTCATTTACCTGTTGCACTTTCTTGTCTTATGCTTAGAGGTTCATAAACTCTATGGAGCAGAAATTGTCCTTCTGTTATGTGTATATAGAGTGAAGAAAATGAGGCCTTGCTCCTTGACTAGAAAATGAAGCCTTGCTCCTGCCTATTCTCTCACATTGTAAGTGAATAATAAGTATATAGTTTGCCTGGAGTGTCTGTAATGAGAAAAACTGGACCTCCAGGAGCCTATATAAGAACCCACAATTTGGGCAAAAAAAAAAAAATCCTGTACTTTTTCTTTAATAGCAATATTACTATTACAAGGTAAGAGAAGAGTATGGATACAAATAAACTAAAGACCTTAGATCAGTGGTTCTCAGACTTTTTAGACTTGAGGCACTCCTCATTAGACTTGAGGTACCCCTCATGAAACCCAGCACACTCCTTGGAGAATGCTAGCTCTTAGTTGTCACTTGGTTTTTTTACTACAGATAAATAATACTGTAATTCTCCTGTTGCAAAGAACTTAGACCATAGCAGGTCAGAGTGGTTTATTTTTTGGTACTATGGATTTGTACTTGAAAACTGAGTTTATTTTGTGAATTGTGTTTGCACATTTAACAGAGCTAACACTCCATGGCATCTCACGGTATCCTTGAAAGGAACTCAAGGCACCCCAGGGTGTCATGACATCTCGGTTGAGAATCATTGTCTTGGATGTTAAAGGATATGTTTGGTTTTGATACTGAAATATTTTAACCATTTTGTATAATTCCTATCATTGAGAAACAGAACTGCACTGGAAAATACAAGCGGCCAAAAAAGGAGCACAAGCATGTCTACCTGACACTGCTTATCAGATACCAGTAATGGATAATTATTATAATTTGTCTTGTAATTAACATATGACTTAGTTGTTTTACACTTAACTATGTTAAAATTATGCATTACAGATCTGAATCTTGACACAAAGCTGCAAAAATCATTTACTCAAGTGCTTATATCATCTATGTGCTTGGCAGTCAGTGAGAGCTACATCACTGCAATTTTTGCATGACAATGCCAATGCCTAGATAAAACAACAGGGATTTTAATCCTTGAAAGAAAGATCAATAATGAATCTATTTATGATGTTAATTTCAAGTTAGTATAATAATATCAACATCAGTATGATTTTACATTTTCATTTAGTTGGTGGTCCAACTACAAGCTATGATTCCAATTTTAGATTCCACTTGGTGAAAAATAAGTGAACACCAATATTTGTTTCTAAAAATTATTCCTGATTTGCATAAAATAAACACACTAAAATAAATATTAACAACCTCTAGGAACACTGTGTTTTCCTTATTATTACATATCACTGTATGGTGTGCTATGGTAAGGTAGTGATTACATGTGTTTACACGTTATCACCAGCTCCATCACCGTAGTGGTGAAATCTACCCGTGCACCACATGCATGGTGCAGTAACCACTTGTACTGTGCCATGTTTTAGTACTTCCAAAAGGTACTTTCACCTTCCAAGGTGTCTGGGAGCTGTAGCCGGAGGTCTACGCACTGGGCAGAAGCCATGGGGCTGTACCTGCCTGCCCCCCCTGCCTAGAGCAGTGCGGAGTGGTGGCCGGGGCAGGTGGATGGCAGGGGCTATACCAGCCAGTTCTGGCCATGCTCCCTCCCCTGCTGCTGGATTGGGGAGGGGAGAATGGGTGACAGGGGCCATAGTCCCCCTGGCAGGGGAAGGGAGGGAATAAACCCTCTCCCTGCTCCCTTTGGTTTGGTGGCCATGTGTCTGGCCAGGCCCCTGCTTTGAGAGCTAGAGAGCCAAGGAGCAGGACCAGCCCTGCTCTCTGAAGCACAGAGTACAGTCCTGCTCAGGGCTGCAAAGCATGCTGGGATGCTGGGGGACTCTGATTTTACTTAAATGAGGAAGGGGTCTGGGACAGAAGTTGCATAAACCAGTTTGATCCAAATCATACTACATTCAGCCAAGGTTAGCTTAAATCAGTTTTAGTGATTTTGTAATGGGTTTATGTGCATTGAACGTATGTTCTGTTACAGGTTTAAACCCGTTTCTGATCACTTAAACTGGTTTATGTGTAACTTCTGTCCCTAGCCAAAGAGAGGGGTTTGCCAAACCTGGTCCCTGTCTGCTGACAGGGACCATGCCTGTCATTTACCTAAGAGGCTGGTATAATAAAATTGTAACTCTCATAAGTAATATTTAAAGTTAGTTTTGTATGGTTGATTTCCCCAAATTAGATGCTTATGGAAAGAAAAAGGTAGTCTAAGGATAGTGCAAGAATGATGTGTGTCAGTCAGTGACTTACTATAATATCAATGTAGAGAACTGCTCTTCTTTCCACCGTTTGTACTGATATAGTTTGGGAGGTAACTCTTGCCAGTGTCAGAGTCATATAGAAAATGCTTTCACCCGTTCTGCCTATTTTGGAGTATATGGACTAGTCACTTCAGGGTAAAAAGGTATTTGGAGACATTGCCATTAGTCAGCTTGTGTTGAGCTTTCCTTTACTATCCTCACCATAAGTGTCAGCAAATCATATTTTGTGCATACAGCAGCTGTGTATGCAAAATGTACATGTACAAAATAAAATACTTGAAGCCTCTTGCCATATCTGTCTGGAACTGATCATATCCATGTATATTTTGAAAAAAGTTTGAGATAGAGAACCTATTTCTATTTTAGATGACAAACTTATCCTAAAAAGATTTTCTTTGAATTAAAAAAGGTAAAATGGATTCATCATAATTAAATGAATACAATGAAATCACACTATTGGACTTTCACACAATAACTGATAAGATATTAGGTTTTCTATTATTGTGTCAATTAAATCATTGCAAATCTTTCAACTTCAAAGTACTGCATGCAAAAGTTTCATACCTGAGCCCAACTGCCTTCTTCAGACTCTTTCTGTGTTATCATCAGGCAGCCATTAGTAAAGCAGGTACAAATATAATACAGCATGAGTCCAGAAGCAAAGGAGATGACAACACACATGTTAATATTCCTAGTACAAAATGTAGTACTGTATAGAGTATTTTGTACACATTTTACAAAGAAAATGCTCGTAATAGGTCTGTACTAACATAAATGGCAAACTAGTGGGGTAAAGTACCAGAAGTGGCATTAGTAAAGCTGAATGAAGCATTTCTTAATGCTGGCAAATCCAGCAAAACATTCAAGAAAGAAAAAAATCTAAATAGTTTTGTGAAATTTTGAAGGTCAATTCAGTATCAGAAACCTATGAGAAACCCTGCCTAGCTGGGATAGGGCAGTCCAACTTCACTTGGGCACTACTTGATTGTCTGGGAAGGCGGCATACCCTAGTTAAACACACTTGTGGAAAGTGACCACAAAATGCTCAACACTGTTTTGTGGTCCTCAGTATAGCAGTCTTCCCTCTTTTTCCCTGACCCTGGCCCATAGATTCAGACCTGTGTTTTATTTCTGACTTCTGGTTTCTGACTCAAAAACTGCTCTCAGCCATGGTCTGGGCTGCCTATGCCCTAGTCACATTACACACACTCTTTTGATGGCTTTCACAGTGTAAATGTAGCTATCACCCCCACTAGCTATCACATGAAATATCTTGTTTTCTCTCAACTGTTTAGTCTCCAGAAAAATGTCACAAGAGTAAAAAAGTTGTGCTTGCAGCGATAATGGTTGAAATGTTGCCCTGCTTCAAATGTGAATACTTGTAAATCTCACTTGTTTGACATGCACACACTCAAAGGTAATACAATTTCACTCAGTACTGTTAAAAGAGACATATTGTAAATCAGAATTTTACAATTTCTTCACTAGATATATAGGGTTGGTGGTGATGGCAGTGTTATGCTGATGTTTATCTTTAGAAACAATAATGAAACTGAAAAGCAGCTTAATTATTTAAAAAAATGCATGAGGAACTCATCAAGAACTTTCAAGTGGAGACTTAAAACTTACAGCAAGAATCTCTTCTGCCTTAACATAATAGATTTAGCACCTCCTTTATCATTTATGCATTGGCCTACTTGTAAATTATTCTAAGCTGAGGATAAGGCTTTACATGTTCTTTTTTAGGTTTATACCACTGTTTATGGTTTATACTATTGTTCTGATATAGAATAATACATTCTTGAAAACAAAGATAAAATTTTGTGATTTTGGAAAATGAACAAATCTGTGTTATTGACTAGAAGCAATATATCGACACGCATTTTTAGTTTTTACTGACATCAGCAGTGAGGCGCTTTAAAAAAAAAGGCATAGTAGATTTAGTGGCCACTTCTAGATTGGCATTAGTTTAATCATTTTATAAAACTTTACTTAAGGAGATACCAGCAAGGAGTTTTAGGGGAAAATATAACACCTGAAAGTACTAAAAATGCATTTTAAGACTCACTTTTACATTGACAGTTCCCTTACATTAAATACTCTTCTCTATGTTCAGTGAGGCCTGACATACTTACATATATTTTAGAAAACTAAATTATAGCTGAGCTGTAGGTGAATATAGTTAAGTGTTAAGTATTCATATTTATAGTAAGTATGGTATTTTATTTTTCTGGAATTGTTGCCATGACTTTATATTCAGTTTCAATACTATCTTTCTAACTGCATACTTGAGAAAGTTTCAGATAATACAATCACATCAAATCAGATTTACTTTAATTCTTCTCTCAGCATTGAATTAACTGTTATTGCTTAAATAAAATCAGAAACAACTAACCGTTTTGGCTGGAGCTGCAAGATTTTCCATTTCTTCATGGGTCACCCAAACATTGCCTGAGGGCTATTAACAGGGCCCACAGGGAAGCAGGTAGAATCCACATTAGGTAAGCAGTGTTAAAGAAGAAAGGCAGCACCACTGTAAGTTAACAGCGTATAGCATCACAATCAGCACAACCATGTTCTTGCCTCAATTAAGCTGCAACTAGAGAGAACTTTAGACAATTTGTTTGATATATTTCCGTACTATGTAAGAAAATTGTTTTATGTATTTCCTCGGAACAGATTATTGTTTACTTGTATCAGTAGATGAAATGCAGTGGAAAGACTGTGAATGACATTAAACAGGAAAGAATATGTTAAAATATGTATCTCACACATAAATAGCAGATATAACCTCTATGCAATAACGGAGTCCTGGGGTGAAGTCTAATTAATTAAGAATCTTCAATCTAAAAATTCTGTAGAGACAATATCAATTGCCATTATAATATCAAGTGAGATGTATTTTCCCTATAGTATTATAAGCCAATGTCTTAAGGAATCTATTTTTACACATTTCTGTTTTGAATAACAGACTCTGACCAGTCCTGATGTAGCCAGCCAGGAAACTAAAAAGATGAGAGCTGGTAGAGTACATGGGTGAGATGAAAGGCACTTTCTGTTTCTTGAAGAAGACAACGACTTCTAACGGAGTTACATAAAGCTGCTAGTTCTGACACAGTGCAGCTTTATGTGACCAAACACACAGGGATAAATACAAAGAGCAAATTTATTCCAGTATTTCTAGCATTAATATTTGGCTTCTCATTTGGTAAGCATCAATTATTTTTGTTCTTTGAAATGAAGACTAATTAAAATGAGTACTTTAGTTTAACTCTCAAAATGTCAAGTTTATAGTGATGCATTCATCTGAAGCTTCTTTCTGTGTTAGTTGGTCATACGATGGCAATAATATATACTCTCTATTTCCCAGGAACATTTACTAACAATCAGGCTATAGCACAGACTAAGGGTACACTCCACTACCTCCTGTTGAAATAGGGCCATTGGGCAATCTAGTATACAAAAGTCTCTGGTAAGAAGAAATACAAGCAAGAGGGAACATGTATCTGTAACCTAGTGGTTATGGCAGTCCCCTAGAAAGCAAGTTTTCAGTTCCAGTTTTTGGTGTTTTCTGTTTTTTTTTCTCTCTGTAACTTTTAAAGGCATTTCAGCAATGGAAATAACCAACTGTAGACATTCAGAACAAACTTGACTTTCAGTGAGGCATGGGGCAGAATCCTGTTTCAGTTTATGTACCTAAACATCAATTATGCAATCATGTAACTATAGTTTTTGGCACTTAAGAACAATTTCACAGTCTATTTCACCCACTGGAAAGACAGAATCACCCTGCATGTGCACCTCCTAGAAGCAAAACGGAGAAGGAAGACCCTTTAATTTTTTAGCCCAATAGCCCAGTGGAAAGGGCACTTGCCCAAGAAGTTATAGGCCCAGGTTCTAAGCTCTCCTCGACCACATGGTGTTTCAATCTGCATCTTCTGCTTCCCAGCAAAGTCCTTTGACCACCAGGACACAAGTTAAGTATTATTCAAACCCCTTTTCACCCCTCTTCCTGAAGCTCCTTTTGGCTCCCTCACAGAGAGGATGATATGTGGGATCAGGAGGAAAAATAAAAAACACTCAGATGATGTGTAATTCAATTCTATGGATGGCACCCTGGAAGAGAGTTGGCTTTGGGTTCTAGCCTGGATTCTCCCTCCCAGTGGGCAAAAACTTCCACTAATACTGTCCATCCATTCTGTCCATTCACTGTTACATGCAGTGAATCAGTATAAACAGAAATATGATTTAAATTTTAGACTTCTAATGCCTAGATCATCAAAGATACTTAACTTAGGTGTCTGGTTATCTTCAAGGATCTTAATCTAAATGACAGGGGTGTGGACAGACACAAGTTATACTGGTTTTAAATTATACTAGTTTACAGGTAAGGCTAAACTGCTAGAACTGTTTCATCCGTCTGTTCCTAACCAAACTTGTTTTGTTCATTTTTTAAGTTACAGCAGTTTAGTTAAGTTGTACACGAGCAGGCAGATGAAACAGGTACTCTGATTCAGCTAACAAGCCAAGTCCCCCCCAGCTTCATTGTCTTTTAAGCTGGTCTATCAGTCTGAATAGGCTGGTCTATCAGTCTGAAGGGTAATGGTACTTTGGGCAAGACTCGAATCAGTTCTCTAGATGCAGAAATGGGATTTTGGTGGAGTTTTAGATGCCTGCATTCCAAAGAGTGATTCAGAATGGGCCTCTGTCAGTAGCCACCATTCTGGACTTCAGTTTCCTGTGCATCTATGCTAAAGCTTCTGAGCATACAATTCAGATACATGGCTCAGGTGCTCCAGGAATCATGACTTCTGCCTAAATTCTACTGTTATTCAGACCGTTTCTGAGAGACGCCTATATTCTTCCAAGACGGCAGAAAAATAGGTAAACAAAAATCATGACAAATTGACCAAACTGAATTTAGCCAGCAGCGGCGCTGTCCACCTTTTGTCCAATACAGTAGTCTCCTGGTCAGAATACTTCATTAGCACACAGAAGACCTGAGTTCTAAGAACCCACCACCTCTTCTCACTCCTTTGCCCGCAAGTGTTTTTTTTCCCTCCCAAGAGCATTTACTACCAATAAGGCTATACAATAGATTAGGTTAGGGTACTTTCCACTACCTCCAGTTGAAACTGTGCCATTTGGCAACCTAGAATACAAAAAATGGTGGATACTTCTCAGTTCTAGTCCTTGCTTCCAGGAATATTTCTGTTTTTTTAATTGACAGTTGTGTACCGTAAACCATGAAAGAAACAGGGGTAGAGTTACAAAGGTTTCACTCCACTTATACTGCTTTAGGAGCTGATAGACATAGCAGGTATATTGGAACAATATTTACCAGTGTAAATACTGGTGTAACTGTTACATTTGTCTGAACTCTTAGTGGTAGCTGAAGTAGTCATTCTGCTTTTGGGAGTAAGGTATTCATAAATTTCAGAGCAGCACAATCAGTGGTCACTCAAAATGACAAACATATTTTGTTTGCATACCTGAATCTATAAAATAATTTAAATATTAGATTATAAAAAACTACCATGATAGGCAGCTTACAGCTAAACTTATTATGCTCATCAATCATCATTAAGCTAGGTGGAGTTGTAGATATCATATCAAACTGGGCTGTGCTTGGATGCGTTTTAGTGCTGTCAGTAATCTCGATCCTTGTAACTTACAAGACAGTGACTTGTGGTAGTAACTTTACAGTTTGTTCAAGACACTTTTTACTGACTATCAAAGATTAAACTGATCTAATCAAAGGTGTGCCTTCAATAGTCTCCTTAAAACATGGTTTCATAGTTTCATAGTTGGTAGAGTCAGAAGGGACCTGAGCAGATCATCAAGTCTGACCCCTGCCATGAGCGGTAAAGAATTCTGGGGTCAAACGACCCCGGCAAGGTGTCTATCTAGCCTCCTTTTGAAGACCCCCAGGGTAGGAGTGAGCACCACTTCCCTTGGAAGTTGGTTCAAGATCCCAGTTGCCCAGACTGTGAAGTAGTGCCTCCTGATATCTAGCCTGAATTTACTTTCCGTCAGCTTATGGCCATTATTCCTTGTTAGTCCCAGT